CTCAAAATAAGTGAATTCAGCTGCGCTTGTCTTGTCGCTATTTTTGCTGTATGGGAAGAATCCGTAAATGCATCGGATGTCTCATTATTTTGCATTATCTCATCTGCTATATTAGAAGTATTTTTTCCCATCGGCTACTTTTTCTTTAGTGCCTTTCAAGAAATTTTTTCATCAGTTTGCTTTTCAATTGGATAAATTCAAAATTTTATTTGTAGAAAGTTGTTGTGCCAAATGCAGAGATAACTGTTGTGCACGAATTTTGTTCAGTAGTGCTAAGAGGCTCTAAAACTAAATACGTGGAGTCCTCAATGGTATTTTCTGGTGCCATTTACGAAGAAATTGCTTTCAGATTTATCAGAATAATTCATCGTTTATGGAAGCTATGATCGGCTCTAACTTATGTGAAACACTTGTCATTATCCTTCGTCGTATTGCATTTCTTGCTGAATGGTTTGTGAATGTTTTGATCTTACATCTTGTTAATGATGTTATCTTCTTAAAAGAAGCATTTCTGTTAAATATTGTTAATCTTTAGTAAGACTGTGAGTACGACTTCGATATCGTTATTCTTGAAAAATTGGGACGCTGTGGCTATAAGGGTTATTGATTATGTGCCGTACAGGTTGGTAAACCAGATTTTTAAAATTTTATTATCCATTTTTTATTTTTTGAAGAAATGGTTGTTGGAAATTTTCCTTCTGGATATACAACATTAATAAATTGTCGAACAAAACGGTACTGAAATCACACTTCATCGTAGGTTACTTCGCTATTTTCGAAAAATCCATTCTCGCTTAACGGTATTCCCAGTTCTCTACATTTTCTAGCTATAATTACTTCAGAAAATCACAGAAAGGATAAAGGGAAGGTTTGGGATGATAAACGAGGGATGCAAATGGAAAGAATGATTTAAGTGGTATAAATGACCAAATATCAAAAGTTATCAAAAGTAACTATCAAAAGTTTTCGAGACCATTATTGTAAATCATCAGAAAATTTTAACGAGCCATGATTTTGCGGTTTCAAGCTTCGTTCATTTATTTCCTAAATGCTTATGCAATCGTTCTAGCTAAGTATTTTTTTGATTTTTACTAAATTTCAAAATTTTAAGTAATGCATACCATTATGATATGTGTAAACGATTCATTTTGCTCATGGTTGCAACATTAAATAGTTTTGATAAGAAAGTGGAGGCGAAGATGATTGTTCGTCAAGGACTTTGCATGCTTTTAAAGTGTTGGTTCGATACTTTTCATGCCAATTTATTAAATGAAGAGTTATTTTCAAACGCAGTTGCATCTACAGCAGTACTGGAGTCAGGTAATTAATATATTATTAATGCCAGAGTATAATTTTGTAGAAAATTAGAAGCAGAAAATTAGAAGCTGACTTGGTCTGTTGCCTTTTTTCTTAAAATTATTGCTTATATGCCAAAATATTTTTTCAGAGTCTTTTAATAAGCGGCAGAACAGTTCGATTCCATTTAATTGCTTAGTTGATCGTTTTCTTTTCTGTTTACGGTATGCAAGGGGTATCTTTATATTTTTACAACCGATCGGCAGTGAATCATTTTGTGAAGAGGAGCAAGCACTTTTTAACTATTTTATTAATTTCATACGCATGGCTTTTCAGTTGAACCTTGTAAGTTTATATATTGCTTACATAATAAAATATTTTTTCAGAATCTTTTATAAGCGACAGAATTGTTTTGAGAATTTAAATTGCTTAAATCTGCAATTTATTAGTGGAAGAAGTAAGTCGAATGAAATATTCTTTATTTCATAAGTGAATCTCATGAAATTTTCTACCTCCAATTTGTTATTTTTGCTTATTGAAGGATCCGCTGTCGCTTTCTCAGCAAAATATATGGATTCGATTAATTCATTCATGTCGTGAGAAGTTGCGCAATTACTTTTTGGATCTCATTAGGTTTTTGTTATTCTCAGCGGCTGAAAAATCGCAAGGAATGAAGCCTTCGGATATACCGTCGGTGCGTTTACATTTACAAGTAAAACCTGGGTTAAATTTTTTTGGGTTTTTTTCAGTGGTATATTTTAAAATTGAACTGTAGAAAGGATATAGTTGATTTTTTGGAACAATAATTCAGAAGAGTTGTGCTATGGAAAAACGGTTGCTTATTGTTAACTTGTTGGTTCAGTTTATTCCTCACAAGATTCTTTTAAATTTACTTCATGGATCTGATTTGGTATTTTATTGCTTTTTCATTTTGTTTTTTTATTTCGATTTATATTATTATTTATATTATTCAGAACGATAAAACTTGTAGTATTTCCAAACTTATATTCGTTATTTTTTAGTTTTCATTTTTCAATTTTTGATTTTCAATTTTTCATGTGTTAAGGATGATAAACATACTTTAAATTTGGCTTTACATGAACTGGCTGTTATTCATCAGTTGAATGACGATTCTGCAAAGGAAGTGGACGATTTGATTCGTTTTTCTCGTTTCATACAAATTCAGTCCCCATTTGTTCATCTTAACCCAGGTGAGTATTTTCTAAAATTTTATTTGGGCTTTGATTCGAATTTTAAATATTTTTTTGATAAATGCTTCGAAAGAAAATATTAATATTTTCAGTTATTCTGTGTTCTATGAAAATTCTTTGAAATTCTTTTCGGTCCTAAATCTGAATTTTGAGTAAATAGTATTAAATAATATAGAAATTTAATTCTTCCATTTTTAGACCGCCATATGTCGTTATGTACTGATGAGGAACTTGCCATTCAAAAATATATTGATACTAGGCAAGAGTTTCTCGAGGAATTGCAACAAGCACTAGCAAAAGTCAGCACAGAAGAAAATGATTTATCAGACTCATTAAGTGAAGTGAGATTTTATCTTTTTATTACCCTTGCAAATATGTTTTCACTTTAATTTAAGAAGAGAATTTATAGGAATGAAAAAAAGATTTTCATCGATTTTTTATTTTTTTTTATCAAATTTTTCATAGATTCGATAGATTAATCAGAGATTTCATCTATTAAGCCTCAGTAGGATTGAATGCCTATTGGCTAATTTCTTAAATTCTTAGATATGTCTTTCTTTATCTAATAATTTTTTCTTATATTTTTTGAAAAAATTTTTTCAAGATAGCTATGTCAAGCACATGCAGAGTCGTCGAAGATCAAAATAGATGCCGTCGTTCATTTGTGAAGATAAAGCGGCAGACTGATATTGATAACACTAAAGCTGAAAATATTCTTGCGGAATTGGTGGTGCTGTTTTTTTACTGTTTTATTTGTTCTTTTGCATTAAATTATCATTTAAAATTTCAGATAGATTTCTGCCATCCCGAATCTATCTGTTATGATTCTTTATCTTGGCCGAATAATTGGGCATTGGATCCAACTGAAGGTCCGAATCGTGAACGAAAGCGCTTAATAGCTGCTCACATTACTTTCGAAGAGCGCTTTATTATGCCTGAATTTGCTAAAAAACTTGAAAGTAGATATTGTCCTCCTCCTCTTTCTCGTCTACTTGTTAGTCTTCGTTCAGTGAATTAAATTTTATAATAATTTTATAATTTTATAAATTATTGATAATAATTTTATAATTTTTTTAATTTTTTTTTGTTTTAGTTAAATTTTTAAAATTTATGTTGGAATTTTATTTAATTCTTAGTTTTTTTTTATAAATTTTGCATATATTTTCTCATAATTAAGTAAGATACAAAATTACTTAGGAAATGGAAAATTTTTAGGATGGTGGTCGAATCAATATAAAGGAAACGTCTTTTATACAAGGTCTTGCTGCTGATGAGCGTATCAGATTTTCAACCAGTGCCACTATCGTTCGATCAACAGTTGAAAGTAATGGTGAAATATTAATTGGTGATAAAAATTTATATTTTTGTGGCGATATTACTCGTTCAGTACAGGTTTTTTCACTTTAATATTATTTTAAAAATAATTTCTTATATAAAGCGTTTGGAAATAATATATTATCACCCAATGCTACTTGAGAAATTATGAGCCCAGGCGGATATTTTTTGAAATTCTTGAATAATAAGCCTGCTGCATAATTTTGCATTTTTTTTAGACAGGTACTTGCACTGGAAAGAAGATTACTTCCAATTTCTCATGGAAATATGACGATATCGTCGAGATTTATAATCGCTATTATCTTCTCAAAGATATTGCTATCGAATTATTTTGCATGAATAAACAGACATATCTGATCGTATTTGAAGATAAATTGGTTCCTTTCCTATTTTTTTATAAAAAAATAAAATATATAATGATATTATCCTTTAATTGCCAGTTATGGAATGTATTTATTATGTGTATTATAATCTCCTCCTGATTAATATGTTTACAGGCGAGGGATCACTTTAGACATCGTCTTTTTTCAATGAATTTAAAGAATTTGATCAAACCGCCAGAACGTGGTTACAGCTGTGTTACGCAACATTGGCGGGAAGGAAAAATTTCGAATTTCATGTACCAATTAGAATTCATTACATCAATATCTAAGGCCTTCATATGACAGAGTGGTCGAGTGGTATAATGAGCTGAAGCATCATGTGTTTGACTCTAATTTCCTGAAAATAGATCCATTATTAAAAGTGAAATCTGAGTGGCTTGCGGATTCATGTGCCCAAAATGAATTTTTGAGATGCTCCTTCATCCCTACAAAGATATTTGACTTCTTCGGCATTATAACATTTTTTACCGTTTAGTTTTTTTACCATTCTACCATTCTACCGTTAATTTACCATTCTTACCATTTTTTACCGTTAATTTTAACTGAGGATTTTATTTTTTGGCCTCATCTAGCAAGGCGAGGCAAGGCAAAGCCTGTGCTGATAGATAGTGAGAGCAGATAAATCAGAAATAGAAATGGTGAATGCTATCAAAAAAGAAAAACGGTCCACATGGTCGTATCCTTTTTTTGCCATTCCACTTTCAATATTCATTTTGCATTATTCTTGCAAGTTTCCATATAATTGTGATGTTCATTCATTCATTCAAGGTATTTAATGCACTTGAATAAATTGGCGGGACGTTCTTATAATGATTTAATGCAGTATCCTGTATTTCCATTTATTTTATCAAATTATGGATCCGTTTTAGATCTTAACGATCCTGGTTGTTACCGGTAAGAATTTAAATAATTTTCAAATTTTGTTTTTTTCAAAAGATTATGACTGCAAGTTCACCAGCATATTTCCCTTAATCGTTTAAATAATTTTGACGTTTTGAAAAAAAAGTGAAAAAAAGAAATGGGTAGAATTTTTTATTTTGCTTCTATATGAAGAAATTTCAGAGATCTCAGCAAACCGATAGCAATTCAAGATAAACGAATGGAGGATCATTATTTGCGAAACTACTCATATCTACAGAATGAACAGTTGCGGATAAATCATAATCGCAAATCGATTCTAAAATGTGGTCCTTATCATTATGGTAGTCATTATTCAAATAGCGGTATCGTAATTCACTATTTAGTGCGTCTTCCACCTTTCACCAATCTTGCTCTTGAATATCAAGGTTATTCTTCATTCTAGCTACTTTTTTCTTATCGCGATTGATGTCATTTGATCGTCTTTCAGTATCAATATGAATTTAGATCATAATTTCGATATCGCTGATCGATTATTCAATTCTGTAGAAGCAGTTTGGAATTTGGCTAGCTCGGATTCTACCACGGATTTTAAAGAACTGATCCCAGAGTTCTTTTTTTTGCCTGAATTTCTTATTAATAGCGAGCGTCTGAATTTAGGCGTTCGCCAAGATGGTAGTTCAGTCAACGATGTCATTTTACCGAATTGGTTATCATTTTTTCAGTTCATTATTTTTTGTAAGAGCTGTTCTGATATTCGTGTTTTATTCAGCTCTTATATATTTCGTCGATTTCATGGAAATTTTTTTTTTTGATTTAATTTTTGATTCTTGACTTTTTATTATTGAAAAACAGGCGTCCTCCATTTTCTTCTATTCATGTTATCCCTTTGCGATTTTGCGCTTTGTAGTTGCGACAATGGCAATGGCAAAACTAATGTGTAAGGGATCAAGGCTGGTAAAGTGACAGAAGGGCATTTAAGTTGACATTATTAGTGAATTATGACAAAGGAATATAGGTGGGAATTCAGTGTGTTCAGAAGGAAATCATTTACGAGGATATTCAACGTGAGCGCCTACAGCTTGAGAATGCGAAATTTCGAGCAAAAAATTTTCATTTTGCTATTGGCAATTAAAAGAGTTATGAGCTTTTAGGTGCGCAAATTCTGCAAGGCTTTTTATACTTGTACATCGTCAAGCTCTCGAAAGTCAGTTTGTTACTGCTCATTTGCATTCATGGATCGATTTGATTTTCGGTTATAAACAGACCGGTCAAGCTGCAATTCAAGCTATAAATGTTTTTCATCCTTCGGTACTGTTTTCTTTTTTTTAAATTTTGATTTTTTCAATTTAATTTTTTAGTAAAATAAGTAATCAAACCGTTAATGGAAATAATTTCAAGAAAAATGGAGAAAATTTTTTTTATTAAAACGCATATTTTGAAATTTTTTCAAATTCCTTATTCTGAACAAATTGCAAGAATTTATAATATAGGCTGATTTTATACATTTTCCAGACATATCGTGATGGATTATTAAATGCAAATATAATCGACGATGAAGTATCACTTTCGGCCCTTCGAACAATGATACGTACATATGGGCAAATGCCAGAACAGTTATTTCATTCAGCACATCAACCACATTTCCCGCCAAAAAATGTTTCTAAAAAAGTAGATGAGGTAATTTTCAAATTTAATCTAGGTTATTTTTCATTTTTTTATTCATTTTTTAATCTTTCGGATCTTTCATTATAGAGTCCTCTGCCCACAGTCATTGGCATCAACTGGGGTGAATTTTTGGGAAGTCCGGCATCTCATTATGGTCCAGCAATTGTTATATGTGATCAATATTTCCCCAATAATGATTCTCATATAAGTCAAGTTCAGTCAACTATCGATGGATCGTGTTTCGCGTATCCGCATCATACTTTGCTTATTTCTGTACGCTTCCATTTGTCTTTCATTTTATATTCTTGAATCCTTTTGAATCCTTTTTTTTGTATCTTGAAAAGCCACTTCTCCCATCATAATTTATTCCATATTTCATTTTTACGCTTTATGGTTTATGGTTTTAGTGCAAGGAACGATTATCAAGCAATATTTCGAGTTGTGGTCTTGTATCTTGGCAGTTTTCTGATAGGGTACTTCGTTACAAACCTTGCGATTCAACATTCTCTGATTGGATCAGTCTTGTTCACCTTCATTCGTTTTCAGTAAATTTTATTAATTTTATTAATTTTTATTCATAATTAGTCAATATCTGGGGTCATTATCTTGCAGAATTTCTTGACCTATTATTGATTATAAATTTTAGAAAATCTATTAATATATAATTTTTTATTGTATTTTATATACAGTGATTGTAGGTTACTGCAATCGACTATTGCAGTTCAAAAGGATTTCTTTTCATCGCTTTATCTTCGTTTATCCATGTTTACCGTATTTCTTGGAATAATACGGTAATTATTAAAAAAAATTTTTTTTCCTAAAAATTTCCTTAAACCATCTATTGTCCTAAATATAACTGATTCACACGTCGAGCCCTACGTTTGCAACTGTGAATCGCCAACAGAAGAGGAAATAATCTCTGTAATCCATCAGATTAAGCCCAATATAACTCCCGGAGAAGATGCCCTTCAGGCCGAACTCTTCGAATGTTGTCTATCATCATTTATAAGAAATGTATTTTATGGTAGGATAAAAGGAAATAATACCAGAAGATTGGAGCAAAGCAATTCTACTTTCAATTCCTAAGAAAATTGGAAGTATTGTGTCAATTACTGAGGAATCAGCCTACTGGACATCTCCGGAAAAATTTTCGCTTCCCTTCTGCTAAAAGACTCAAGGCAGAACGAGATAGCAATGCGTCCTAACCAAACTAGATTCAGACCGGGACGCGGTTGACCAGATATTTACACTAAGAGGAGTGCCGGAACATCGCTTCAAATAACAACAATCCATCGTCACTTGCTTTCACTTGCTTTATCTATTTGGCAGCTGCGTTCGATTCAATTGGTAGTGCTCTGGAAAATGATGGAATGTGACAGAGAAGAATGTAACAAAGAAGATCACTCATAAAGGGCATTTCGTCAGCATACCGTTGCACAGGTCTGGTATATGGGGAACTAATAAACTCCTTCGAAATATGAACTGGAAAAGGCTGTTTCCTTTTCCCTACAATGTTCAACTATACGATAGATTGTACAATGGATATCGTTTGTTGGCACTCAGGATGTTATGCAAATTAGTCCAGAGCATAGTATCACAGACCTCGAATAGAGATGATATAGTCCTTTTTGCTGACAGTTATAATGAAATGTAAATAATGTGTCAGCAACTGCAACGAGAATTGTACTCAAAATCAATGTAAATAAAACGAAAGTTTTCATCTTTTATACAAGATGCTGATAAAATACCCATTTTTATCAATACATTGCCGGTTGAGAAAGTGCCCGACTTTAAATACCTTGGATCCACTCTAATCCTAAATGGCCAGGCAAAGGATGAAATTGTGACCCGGATAACGACAGCTAGAAATACGTTTTTTTCCGGTTGATGAGATCTTTATGGAATCGTCGCGAAATTATCATAAAGACGAAAATCTTCATCCATATTGCTGCAGTTCACTCGATCTTGCTATATGGCTACGAGACATCCCAATGAGAGTGGAAGACATTAGAAGCTATCAGCCTTTGACCATCCATGTCTAAGATATATTTTACAGATCCATCAAGCGGATAAATTCGCATATGATTGTATCCATCTTCGCTAAACTACTGCCTGTATTAATAATGTTATAACAGAGTATTTCCTTCACTGGCTAGGTCACGTTCTTCGTCGTCCACCACAGGATTTGACCCATATTTCATTACTTGCTAAATTTTGTGCTCAAAAGCGAGAAGGTCAACACCTGGATGATACAGTTAGATAAAATTTTAAACGTATAGGGGCACCAGCGATATATGAACTTAGACGATAGAAAAAGGAATAGCTTCTATTGCTACTAGCGATGGCATCGGACCAAGCAGCTTGGAGACGTCTTACCCTTAAAGCCAGTGGAACCAGCCTAACTAGTAATGGTGACAGATGTTAGAAGAAAAAGTAAATCATTAGACAATTAACGAACAATTCAATTTTTTTATCTTCTCAGCTAATTTTTATTTTCAGACTTTACAAGACTTCACTTTGCAAAAAACTTTATTAGGCCACAGTCTTGATGTATCTGCCATTGCCACTTGCGCGGAATACGCAGTTGTTGTGACTGCTTGTATTCAAAGCAAAGTATGTGTATGGGATCTCAATCGTTTGTGTTTTATTCGAACGTTGGACCGGAAGACTAATGATGCGGCTATTTTAGCCACCATTAATAAAATTAACTGTGATGTTGCCATTGCTTATTCTTCAGCAACAGGTTAATTAGTTAATTTCTTATTTTCATTTAAATTTTATCGGACGAATTGGATTGCTTCAACATCATTCACATCAGCGTTTTTAAGGTTATGGAAGTAAAGTATGTTTATATACCATAAATGGTGCTCTCATTGGTGAAGAGGAAATTGACATTGCTGTAACATCAATGGTCATGTCTTCATTACCAGAAGGAACTGCAGTGAATGTATTGGTTCTTGGGATGTTGAACGGCACTATAAGGTGCATTCTATTTTACAGTCTAATTTTGATTAATTTTGATTAAATTTGGGTTCTTTACCACCCAACTCATCAATAAGAGCGATGCGCGTACAAATATTTCAATTTTTTAGGATCTATGAAACATGGACTTTCTCACAGATTCAGATCATTGTTGATGATAATTTCCTGGAACCAATCTTGAGGCGAGTCTAAATTTAATCTGTTTAATTACATTCAATGTTAAATTAAATTGCACAGTTATACTGTACTAGAAATGTGATTAATGAAACCCGTCGCGGAATCACTATAACGATGAAAATCCGCGTCCATATAGTTGCAATTCGCTATATGGATGCGAAATATGGCCAGTGAGAGTGGAAGATATTAGAAACTATCAGCCTTTGACCACTCATGTCTAAGATATATTTTACGGATCCGTCAAGCGGATAAATATTTGCACATGATTGTCATCTTCGCTCAACTACTTGTATTAATAATGTTATAACAGAGCATCACCTTCACTGGTTAGGTCACGTTCTTCGTCGTCCATCACAGGATTTGACGCATATTTCATTGCTTGCTAAACCGCTGTGATGGTTGGCATCAAAAGCGAGAAGTGCTAGTCGAAAAATCTGAATGATAGGAAAGATTTTAAACGTATGGGAGACCAGCGATATATGGACTTAGACTACAGAAAAAGGAATGGCTTCTATTACTACTAGTGATGACATTGGACCAAGTAGCTTGAGACGTCTTCCCTTATAGCTAGTGGAGCCAGCCTAATTAGTAATGGTGAAAGCTATTAGAGGAAGAAGTTATACTTTACATAACTATTATCTTTTAGCATGTCGTTCGCTGCTCATTGTACCAGATTATATACTTGTCTTGCATCAGGTCGTATATTATGCTGGCAAGGAGCAAAAAATCAAGCGAAAGAAATTTCAATTATGGTTGTTTGAATTCAAGGTTGTTTTATTTTAAATTTCTTGATCTGTTATGCTCAGTTTTTCATTTTTTCATTTCAGTGAAATTTTTCATTTTTTAAAACTGGTACCGTTATTTCCTTTATAAATTAAAAAAAAAACTTTCTTATTAATTTTTTCCTGGTATTTTAATTGCAGTCTTTATTAGTTTTTATTTTTAACTTTTAACTTTTTTAACTTCTTCTTTTAAATAGATTATTTCTTTGGAAAAAAATAGAAGATTTACGATTTTACGATGTCTGCCTCTTCTAATTTAATTCATTTTGTATATTAAGTAATGTTTAACATCGATTTATGAATTAATTGTCCCTTGTTTTACTTTACTTCATTTGCAATATTGGTACCTTACTGGGTGCCATTTTTCGCATTTAGAGCTTTCATTATAACTTCCATTGTTCCATTATATGATTTAACCAGGCTGTTTTATTAAATGATAAATATATTTTCCAGCAAATAAAATTTGAAATTTTTTAGCCTCGCATTTGGATTTGGAATATATTATAGCTTTTTTTTTCATTAGTCATGTTTTTGAAATGATATAAATATACTACTTGATCCAAATTATTCAAAGAATTAAGGAAAAAAAAATAAAATGTGGCTATGGATTTATGTTGGGGAAATGTTTTATTTACATTTTCTGTATTTGCAATATATGATTTTTCCACACATTACACATTTATTATTTTCACGTTTCTTTGATTCCTCTTCAGAATACTTGTAAGCCGAACGATACCTGTCCACACTCTTTTCAAAATACCAAGGATGTTGACTGCTTGTCGGAGGTCCATTTTCCTCATTTCGAGTAAATAATGGCTATATCACTGTGGTGTGAAAACTTGAAAGCAAATGGCTTATCGATTGTCATATCTGGAATCGGTCTGCTCTGATTGGAATCTTTTGGAGACGGCCGTATGGCCTATGTCGCTTCAAAAAAAAGTTGCCATATTTTGCTTATCAATATGCATGCTCCTACTTTATATGCACAGTACATGTGTACTTAAATCAATATGTGCACAGATGTTCACAACAAAGATAAGTTTTATGTGGAACTTCAACTGTTAGCAACGTCCCTACGGGAAAGTGACATGGTCAGTTAAACGGGGAAGACTGGAATATGTCATGATTTTACTACAATTTACTACAATGAATTCTCTAATTGGCAAATATGGCATCTAAATCCGGTAAATCCGGTAATGCATACGACAATGCATTCTTCGCTTTGCCGAAAAGCGTGAACTTTTTATCACTAACACATTCTTCCAGCATTGGAGAAAGTACCTAGTCATAGAGAATTCCAGATAACCAGCAGTCCAACCAGATATATCTTAATCAGTCACTGTTGGAAAAGTTCCGTACTAAATTGTCGTTTCTATCGGGACGCTGGGACCGATAACCTTCATGAAATAAACCATGTTGTAGTCAGAGCCAAGATTTGCATATAACTTGCGAAGAAGATGGTCTTCAGGTCGAATGTTGTCCATCGTCCTTCATATCAAATGTGTTCTTTTGTATGAAAGAAAAAAATAAAAAAAATAATAGCAAATGACTGGAACAAAGCAATTCAATTCTATTCAGAATTCCTGAGAAAGGTAATAGAATAGAATTCTTTAAGAATTGTCGAAGAATTAGCCTCCCGATATTATTAGATGTCTCCAAGAAAATTTTTGCTTTCCTTCTATTCAGTTGGCTTATGACAGTACGAGATAGCAGGATATGCCCCTACCAAGCTTGATTCAGTTGTGTTGGCCAGATATTCAAGAAGGGTGTTGGAACATCGCTTCAGATATTTGCAGCCCACTCTCACGTGTTTCATCGACTTTGCAGCTGCTTTCAATTCAGTTGATAGCGCTTTAGAGAGTGATGGAATATGTTGGTGTTCCAGAGAAGATTATTCGCTCCACAAAGACATTTTATCAGCATACATGGGCACAGGTCTATATGGGGAAATGATAGATTTTTTCGAAATAAGAAACTAGTTCTTCAAAGTTGGTGCTTTCTCCTACAGTATTCAACTATGCAATTGACAGAGCAATGGATATCTGTTGCCTGTACTCAAGATGTATACAAATCGGTCCAGAGCACAGTCCAGTGTTTGGACTTAGGTTCAGTCCAGTGTTTGGACTTAGGTTCAGTATAAATAAAACGAAAGTATTTTTATCAATTTAATTCCTCGACAATTGAAACGCCACTTCGAATATCTCGGATTCACTCTAATCCCAAACGGTCAAACGAAGAACCAACCTTGATAACGGGAACTAGAAGTGCATTCTTCCAGTTAAGGAAACCATTATGAATCCGTTGTGAAATCATTGTAAAAAGTCTATACAGTCGTAAATCGCTCGATCTTGCTGCGAGACGTAGCCGATTAGAGTGGAAGATATATACAGAAGCTATCTTCTTCTGGCCACTCATACATCTTATGGGCCCACCGAGCTGGTAAATCGATTACATGATTACATCCACTTTCGCTCATATGCCATCTGCATAATACTACCATCGAGCCACTTTCGTTGGTTGTTGATCGTACTTTTCATCGTCCACCACAGTAATCGATACTTATTTCATTACTCGTTAAACCCTGATGGATCGTGTCAAACCTGGCACGGTCAGGAAAGATTTTGAACATGCGGGAAGACTAACGACTTGGAGTCAGCCTAACCAGTAATGGTGAGAGTTATTAGAAGAAATAGAAGAAGATTCCTCGTCATTACACCGCTTCGATACTCATAATAGATTTGAAAAAATTTAAGTGGCAAAAAAGATTGAACATGGCGTTAAAAGCGAATTGTGCTCAAAGAGTACAGCTAAAGACTGAAGTTTTTAAGGATTTAAAATGAAATATGATAAAGTTTCTGGGAATAGGAAAAGATTTGAATATGGCGGGTCGATATTTCGCATGCAATATATTTCTAAGGATTTTAGAGGAATATTATAAGAAAAAGGCACTTGGCTTAGGTTATAGGGTCATAAGAAGATGAAACTAATATTGCAGTATAAAAATGCATGCCCTTCAGAATTTTTTAAATGGATGCGTTAAGTGGAGTATTAAAAGGAATTATAGGGTTTTCGAGCATGTAAGACTAAAACGAGTTCAGAGAAAATTACCAGGAGAAATAGTAATGGTACCGAAGTGAGGTTTAAGTAGTAAGGTTAAAGTAGTAAAATAAAATTTAATGGGATATTGCAGAAGATTACGATGGTGTGGAATGGCTCTCTTGACGCTTTTCATTGATGTCCCAAATTTTTCATTTATTTTTAGCGAGCGGGATTTGTCCAATGTTGCTGAGTAGTGGAAGGCAGCTGAAAATTTTGATTTTGGCTTTATTGACGATTACAGATACAGAAGCATGCAGCAGACAGCAACAGCAAGCAGTAAAATCTCCAAGAAAATCTAAAACCTGGGATTAAATACCTAACCTAACAAATTTAACAGTAAATGATGATAACAATAATATTACAGTAGTGATGGTAGATTCGACCACACGGACATCTTTGATAAAAAATGAACAGAGTGTATTGGAGAAGCGGATATGATCTCAAATTTTCAAACTAAAAGCGTTTACCATAACTTTAACATGAATCGAAAGTTAAACAACTTTTACCGTTGATTAATTAGAAATTAATAGATGAAGGCGAGATACAAACCTAACTTTGGCAATTGTTCGCATTCTACGAGTTATAGCAATCCTCTTTCCATCTCATTTGAATCACTGGTAAATTGGATCCTCTTATTGTGGCGAAAATAAAAGCGAGCTTAATCAGGAATGATAAATATTAACAACTTAAATTTAAATCTAACGTAAGATAACATCGATTCGCTCTACTATGCTCGTAGTATTTTTTATCCATAAATCATTTTCCCACCCACATAATATCCACAATATTTACTATCTTCTATATCAAATTTCACTTTAGTCTCTCCTTTATATCTTGTAAATCTTGGAAGTCGATAGAACTCACTACTGGAATTAGCCGTCGGAGAAATTTGAGGTGATTTTGCAATTTCCTGAATTATACTAGTGCATATCGATGAATTAATAATTCAACAATAAGGGGACGGGAGATAAGGGAAGAAGGTCGTTTATTAAAATTCATTAATCTATTCTGACTTGACATTGAACTTGAAGTTTGAGCTTGAAGCTGAATCTTCAATTCTGAGAACATTTCAAACATATAAAACGGTTTCGTATTAATATGAAAATAATTACATAAACGTTGAACGTAAAATTATGTCGTCAATATGTGAATTTTTCTCCAGCAAATTAGAAATCACCAATCATCTTTGCTTAAATATCTTTCGCCGTTTTTCGGAAGGATCGTTCGCCCACTCATCAGGTGAACAATCTCTAATTCTTTCGACAATTAATTCTTCATGATGGCACATGGCATCCACTAAAATATTCCAGGCCGAAACCAGTTAAACTTTCTTCCATGGATCCTCTAGATGGTACCATTAAAATCCACGAACCGACCTCCAATGTGACATTTCCATTTTAAAATTTTAAAATACTTGCTAAATTTATTTTTCCACTTAACAGTTTGAATGAATAGAATAAATTGCATGAAATTAAATATTAGTATTGAAATATTAGGCCATATTAGATCTCCTTGAGAGCTACAACTCCAGAGACTGCAGAGGAACAATAGAGGCCAGTGATATTTTTTCAAGCACACAGCATATTCTTCTTGATTTTCGTAGAACATAAATAAAACCTTAATGAAGTAAAATTTTGATATTTGCCTTTAACCCTATCTGATTCGACTAAATTGCAAAATTTTCGGTTTATCCGCATATCGAAATTATTCGAAATTATTGATTAAAAAACGGAAATTTTCTACTCTTTTATAAGTTAATGGCGAATGACCATGACCCGACCCGATGATCCGATGATCCGATGATGGTCACCATCTCGAGTATGCAATGCGAAAACTGTTAATACTTTCTACTGATGGTTTGAAATCCGGATTGTTTTTTTGTCGACTTTCATATGTCATTGTAATCGTAAAGCAGTTTATGCGTATCATTTTCGTTCAATGTGAGTAAATTGTTTTTGTAGGGGAAAGGAGGATGACATAATATAATGTAAGTCGTGACATAGGTTTAAAATAATCATGGAGAAGTGTTGGTTGAATACATAAAATTTTTTTTGGCGATGTTGCCAGCTAACAATTTGTTTTCGGCGAAATTTCGTCATCTTCAGAATCACAAATTTTAGAAAATTCGGGATCATAACGCTCTTTCGGATGGTAAAGTGGTAAAATGATAGATGGTGATAAATTACGATTATCGTCAGGTCTTAGAAAACTAGCTGAAAGGTAAAGCAACAACTAAAAAAATAGGAACCAGCTTCATGAGATTCGTGAGTACAAATGTCGCATATTTTTTGCGCCACTTCAATCTCTTTATCACTAACTTCTGCCAAGTTATTTTCTTCGCTTTTTATTGTATTGCTGATTTTGATTCCAAGATTCTGCTCATTTAGTGCTTAATTGTAATTTAGTGCTTTACTGATGAAATTGCAATTTTTAACAAATTTTTCCATGTTTTCAATTTTCAATTTGCTAGACGACGACGCTTTCTGCGTTGTTGACCTATTGGTCCACCATTGTATTTGATAAGGAAATATCGAAACAAATCATGCAATTCATTAGCATCATCGTCAATGTAGGGAACTGTTAATGAACTGATTGGATTGCTTTTAGGAATATTAGTGTTCTTCTCAGTCTTATCGATAGAGTATTCATTACATTTCATATGATAGTTCATTGGAAAAAATAATCTAAATTTAATTATTTATAATTTATAAATATGAAAGGAAACTGCAAACTACGAAAAATTTGCAAAATTTGACTTGCAAAATTTTTGCCTGTAATAAATAAAAGAGATTTTTTTGCAGTGCATTACATATTTCTTAAGTGGCTAGCAAAAACGACATCCTATAGACCTGGAGAATTCCTAAGAAAGAATAGAGAATTTTTAAGAGTTACGAACAGAGAATTTTTTTTTTAAGAGTTTTCACCATTACCGGTTGAACTAGCTCCGCTGGCTTGTCGCATTGGATAAATATGCCAGAGAGTCCCTTGGCTATAGAAATACAGGCGAGTCGCCAGCATCACCCGGATTTTTGGACACGTTTACTCGTGCTGAGAATAGAATCTTAATTTCGACACTCCGAATTGAGAAACAGCCCACTAAGCCATCCTAAACGAATAGACGACAGACTTAATTTTTATTACATTAAGGAACAAAAATTGTAAAAGAATAAAAGGAGTGCGATTTTACAGTCTGCCTAGAACTAGGTTACATTCAAGACTTCAGAGTTAGCAATGTTTAGGCTAAAGCAGGGGCCACAAAGGGATTTTGGTAGCAAAGATGTTTAAAGGAAATCAGAAAGTCAGCAATGAGTTGTGAACGAGTTAAGAAAGCTTTGAAATGGGCGAGAAAAAGAATTTTTGCAAAGCACAAAAATATAGCGATAAAACATAACATAGCAAATTGAGAAGAATAAAAGAATAAATGAAGATTGCCTTTGGCCCAAATTTAGTGAATTTTTCGTGTGAAAAATCTTTGGAAAAATCATGTCTCCTCAAGCTGACTTATTAAATGAAACGTCACACAAATAAATACTTCATGCAAGTGTATGTCAACGTATTTTGGCGAAAAGCGATAAATGATGCAGTAAAATAGAATTTTAATGCAACGAATATTAATTTGTCCTATGGAAAATTCGAAAATAACCATAAATAAAAGCCATACTGCACCGTCAATCACCACAATATCGATCAAAAATGCGTATGTTCAGTGATATTCCAAATATTCCAAATAATGGCTTTGAAGAGGTAAAGTTGAACGATCTTTTTCGTAAATTTCTAAGAGTGGCAAGGGATATGGAAAGATAAAATAGTATGTCGATGCTTTTACATTGCATTGTTGGTGATGTTCGTAGATTGCTCGGGGTGCATCAATTCGGCATGAGTAATTGTTCTCCTGTCTCCTGTCTCCTAATTGTTCGTGGTAGAAAGTTGTTATCAAAATAAAGACGCGTTTAATATTGGGAAACATGCCGCTTGTTTGCGCTGCAAGTAAATTATCCAGTATGGTTGACCGCATAACGGCAGTTGTGGCTAATAACATTTTGCATTTTCTCTTGCTTCTGGAATATTTTTAGAAATTTGTTCTTTGTCAGAATCTGCAAGCTCCACTGGTTGCAAAATGCTTTCAGTTATTTCTCTACTCGTTTGAGATAAATGCAATGTGAATCAGCTGTTCATCTAAAAGACTTTTTTCTTTTCGAGTGATGCGACTTCATTTGCCTGTAGCGTTCAATTGGCTGTGTGCCGATAATGGTCGGAAATTTTTTGGAAGGTCGATGTGTATTCTTTGTGCCAACTCTTCCGAACTTTCTGAAAACCCCATATTCTTAAATTAGCGCTATTAATTTGGCTGTCTGAAATATTTCTTAGCAGTTTTTAATTTTTTAATTTTATTCATTCTTAGAAGCCATTGTGAGAGTATTTGATTTGATTTATTCGCAGTTTATTCAACTTTTACAGATACTTTTCTCTGCATTTTTCTTTCTTTTGTCATTAAAAAGAAGCTTGTGGACCGGTGGGACTGCTCCCGATCAAATATTTCTCAGTGTTGTTACCCTTTGTAATTCGTAGCTGCAATTTCGGCAAAGGATTATTAAGAGATATTACACGGGTGTCGAGGACCAAAGCCATAAGTGAAAGATGATTACTAGTGTTTATGGCAAAGTAATGCAGCGAAACTTTCGGTAAGTTCAGAAGATATTTAAAAGGTAAGAGGTGTTTAAAGTGGTTTGTGGAGTACCAAAGAGTTTAAAGGATTATGATTTCGCAATCTCAGGGCTGTTTCGTTTTTTTTCCGACAATAAATCTGCAAGACTTTTTCTATATCGTTCGTAAATTCTCGAAAGTCAGTTTGATTTGTATTCATAGACCGATTTTTGATTTTCGGGCCGGCCAAGCTGTAATTCTTAAATATTTTTCTTCCTCTATTTTTTCAATTTAATTTTGCAACAGAATAAGTAATCAAGCCGTTAATGGAAATAACTTCTTTCGCAATTTTTTTACAGTTTTTTGTCCAAAAAATTTCAAAAAAAAGTTGAAAAATTTGTAAAAATTTTTTAATAAAAAAATAATAATTATGTAAAATAAAAATTTCTTCGATGATGAAATATCAATTGTCAGTTTTTGCATGTGTGAGCGAACGCCGGAAGAACAGCTTCATTTCGCCGAAAATTATTAGTGGATTAGAGAATTCTTACTGGAATCTACGCAATTTAATGTATATACATTTTTCTTTTGTTTGCCCTTAATTCTTACGGAGTGTTTCGCCCATGGCCAATAGCATCTATTAGAGTGAATTTTTGGGAAGCCGGGTTTTTATATGGTCTAGCAGTTATTATTTCTGATCAGCATTACATCTGTGAAATCAGTGTTTATTCAGTATTCAATATCTCACACAAATCAATCATTTGCTGGCTTCATTACGCTTAATTTGCTTATTTTTCTTGTTCTTGCCTAATTTTCTTGTTCTATTTTCATTTCGATTTTTATAAAAAAATTTTTTTTTTCAGATTATATTATTTCTAGTAGATCTGTACTTGTAAGTTTTTTTTAATGCAAAGGTAGATCAGAGTTTTCCAAGAGGGTCGATGTCGAAATGAAGGATCGATGGCAACTTTTTTTGAAATTTTTGCATAAATTCAAATTATAACGAAAAAATAGTAAGAATTCACATGGATTCTGCAATCAACATTTTTGGTTATTTCGAATCGGATTTTTACTATCCGATTATAATTATTATTTCGAATTATAATATGTTATATTATTTTACAATATCCTCTTTATTTCGTCTTTAAATTGTTTATTTTATTTTAATATTACTACTTTTTTTGTTTTTTGTCATTAATTCTTATTTGTTATTTTTACTGTTGTTATTAATACAAGCAAATGGCGTTTGCGCCCTGCTTGTCTGGTTTTCAATAAATAAATAAAATATTTGAAATAAACATTTTTAGTATTATCTTATCTAATTTTAGCAAATTAAAGCGGATTTTATAAATGATTTATTAAGGAAAGTAAGAAATTGATTAAATATTTCAGAACACTGCAGTTTACGAGTTGCAATTGCTATAAATTTAAATCTGAATAACTTCGACTTTTTCCATCAGTCTCATTTTTATTAATTATTTTGAATTGATTTCTTGCCAGCAAATTATTTTAATAAATCTCAATTAACTTACATGCTTATAAATCGCAGATAGGTAGGGCGAAATGTAATTAAAACACGCAATTATGTCGTGCTTTAATCCGCTTTAATTTCTGAATTTTTCCGCAAATATGAGGGAGAAACGATGAAACAGTTTGAAAGCAAATTCTCTCTTTTTCCACTGGAAAAATCTAAATTCAAAAGATAGTGGTCTATTGTATCGTTGAATTTTTAGGCATCGATATGGGTGCCTTTTTGTTCTGTTTTTTTGAATTAACGAATATTATTCGAAATTTAGCGATCATTTCCTTTTTATTGTCGAAAAAAAACGAAATTTTCCCATTAACCAACTCTTTAAGCATTTTCTATGTAAGTTTTTTTGGATAGAGCTGCAGGTATTTTGATCCCCAAATGGCTTTTCAACAAAAAGTTCTCAGGTTAGTAAGACTAGTCGGAATTTTTTTCACTACAATATGCGAATCAGGTGAAGTGCTATCCACCGAAAATGCTTAATCGTTATTTCCTTTCTCGTCCCAACTAGTTATCGAAAACGAATAATTCTCCAGGCGAAAACAAATGATGCTGTTAATACTATATACCGTGTCTCGTCAACAAATGCACCGGATAATAAAAGAAATCATAAACAGTAAATAAACAAATAAAAAACAATGATCTTATCCTTTATACATTTTGCAAATCATTTTTTCAATGGAAGTATTACCAAACGTTCCAGCGAAAAATACTTTGTCGATTTTTTCCGCTCGAATAGTTCGAAGTAATGGTAAAATTAGAAGAAGGCGACCAAATCTATAAATCAACTGACCTAGAAAGAACGATCCTTCTCACACACTTGACTTTGGTATCTCGTGATATTATTGAAACAAATGAACCATGACTTAATTGTAACAGCTTTGCATAGTATTCGTATTTATTTTGGAGTGAAAAAATTGTATTATCCAAAAATCTTTCTTTTCATTTAGCAAAAATAGAGTCTTTGCCTTAAGAATATATGCTGTCGGGAAGAGGATAGTGAAAAAGTTTTCTGAGGAAATTTTCAGAAATTGGAACAAAATCTTAGTTAGTGGTATCATTTACTGAGATAAGGGTTTTTTCAAATAAATGAACGAATTGTTTCATGTAATGTCATTCTAACTTTTGCTGTTAAATATTAAATTTTAGAAAATTAAATAGAAAATTAAAAATTGAATTTTAACGGAAAAATGAGAAAATTTACCTGGTGGCACCGCGTGAAATTGAATGTCGAGCTAATAATTGTTGGGCTTCGTCTTGAAAATCTTCGACTTGAGGGAAATTCTTCAATCCTCGCGCTTCTGAAGAACGATACATTTTGCTTAATAGACATTATTAGATTTCCAAATGTAATTAATTTTGAGCAGAAAACGAATCATATCATCTAAAAAAATTCAGCATCTTGATTTTTTGATTCACAGTAATTTTTTAGACATTTTATGAACGCTCGTCAGCACAGATCTGTATAGGGAATTGACAGATTCCTTCGAAATAAGAACTGGTCCGCCAAGGCTGTGTCCTTTCCCTTACAATACTCAACTATGCGTTAGACTGAATAATGGAACTCAACAGGTGTACAAATCAGTCCGGAGCATTGTATCATAGATCTTAAATACGCTGATGATGTAGTCGTTTTTGCTGACAGTTATGATGAAATGCTAAATAACGTGTCAGAAATTGCAGCAAAAATCGGACTCAGGATCAATGTAATTTAATTTCGTCTTATGTGCAAGAAGTTGATAAAATGCCTCTTTTTGAAAATTCATTGCTGGTTGATGAAGTGTCCGATTTTAAAAACTTTGGGCCCATTATAATACCGAATTGCCAGGCAAAAGATGATATTACAACCCAGATCACGGCAACTAGAAATGTCTTCTTCTGATTGATGAAATCTTTATGGAGTCATCATGAAATCACCATAAAAACAAAAGTCCGTATCTAAAGTGATCGGATCGATCTTGCTATAGCTCTTGCTATAAAAATGGCCAATGAGAGTGGAGGGTATTAAGAAACTATCTACCTTTGACCACTCTTGTCTAAGGTATATTTTATGGGTACATCGAGCGGATAAAATATCACATGATCGCATTCATCTTCGTTCAAATACCACTTGTGTTAATAAAGTTATCACAGGGCGTCGTCTTAGGTGGTTAGGGCACGTTCTCCTTCATCCACCACAGGATTTGATGCATATTTCGTTACTTGCTAAGCCGTGTGGTGGTTGGCGTTAAAAGCGAGGTGGGCCAATCAAGACCTGGACTGATACGGTGAGAAAAGATTTTGAACGTATAGGTGGACCAGCAATATATGGACTTAGACGATGGAAAAAGGAACGGCTTCTATTACTATCGACGATGGCATAGAGCAGCATATAGTAGACCGCATTGCTTGGAAGCGTCTTACCTTTGTAGCCGTTGGAGCCAGCTTAACCAGTGATGGTGAGAGCTGTTAGGAGAAGAAAGGGTAGAGAAAAGGACTACGCTAGATTAAATTTGGGTTTACTTAGATTTCCAAATGTAATTAGTTTTGAGCAGAAAGCCAATCATATCACAGCATTCCTGAACTAAATGTTTTTCATTATTATAATACAATTATTGCAATAATTTACAGATTTATTCGCATTTCGGGTTACTTATATTTCATCATTTCTTCCAGTTTGTTTAGCTGCACTGCACTAAAAGCCAAATAAGGGTGTAGATAAGCGTTTACCCGGCAATTCACTTCAATCATAGTCTATTAAGGGGACGAAATCGAGTCTGTATTTCTTGCCATTGGCAGAAATGATTTACGACTCTATCGATGTAATTTATTTTACATACTTAATACCATTTAGGCATTGCAGCTTCGGCATTGAGAAAAAAAGTTTCCAGTTAATTAAGCGAAATCCCAGCATAAAAATTTTTGTTCGATAAAAATATTTGAAAGAAAATTAAAGAAAGTGTAAATAAATAATTATCGATGACCGACTTTAAAGCAAAAATTATTTTTAAACTGCTATATTAGTATAATATTAGTATGAATATTACTATAATTACTGTTATTATTATTATTACGTTTGTTATTATCATAGTTACCTTTTTTTTAAAGCGCTCACCAATGCTGATTTAGTATTACTCCACTGGTTAGTTGAATTAGACAAATATACCAAGGAATTCTTTGCCGACAAAAATAGGATCTCCAGTATCATCCACTAATATTATACTAATATCTCCAGTATGATCCACTAATATACTTTAATTAATATTGCTATTATTATTGATATTACCGTTATATTAGACAGATTGGTACTAAAGCGTGTAAACATCTAAATTTAAATTTTCTAAAGCAATAAAAAGATTTAAAGCAGTGGTACCCAACTTTTCGGCTTCTTTTGAAATAAAATATAATTATATAATTATATAAATATAATTACATAAAAATAATTAAATATAAAAAATAAGTCAAAAAACTTCATTTGCTTTTTATATTTTTTATTATAAAATTAAAAGAAGAAAAGCAACATAAAACTAGTGGAATATTCGACTTTGTTTTGGAAGTAGTTGCAGTTTGCAGTGAGTTCTCAGATTTATTATCTTTCCGAACCCGTAGGATTGTGAATTAGGTACCTTTGATCTAAAGTGTCTAGTGCTATAAGCACCGATAGAGCTGTAAACATTATTGGCTAAGCTACCGTATGATGAGTTCAGTCACTGATTGGCTAATTCCTTACGCTCCTCCTGTAAGCCGTTGAACATTCTCAATTTACATTTGCTAAGGTCCTATTTTTTTTCTCCATTCCTTTTTTCCAATCCATTTAATTTGGTATCGTTTGGTTTGGTATCGTTAATCTTTTTCATTCTCATTCTTTATTTAGTGCCAATAAGTTAATAAATGCTTATATTTCATTTCAAATCCTTTTCATGTTTTTCGATTTTAAAGTGGACTTAAACAACGTACATTATTGAAACCTTCCTTTTGGTTAATTCCTTAGAATCTTTTGTCATTAAAGTTTCAAAGACTCAATCACTAAGAAAATTGAAGTGTAAACATTAAATCGAGCACAATTTAACAAAAATATTCTGACAAAAAATTATTTCACTGGATTTTCAAATTTTCAAATAGTTGTAAAAGAAAAAAGCTTAAGCAGAAATAGAGAATTCTATTTTTTAAGACACAATAATGACATTTATCCACTGTCTCAATTATTTCAATCAGTAATTCTTGAAGTCGCAATAAAGAGCCTATTTAAATTGCCCATTAGTAGCTGTGATGTGTATTTTCCTAAAATAAATTCTGATCAACAATAGCGCAAACCTGGTCGGAATAAAACAATTGCTTTGAGACAAGCAAATTCAGTTTGATCAACATCGTACTTCCTGATCCTCATAAAAACATCTTGGAGATATCGTAAGCCATTCGTTGATAATGGAATTAAATTGCTAAGTAGAGGACATTTATCCATTGGGAGCGACCACTGATAAATGCTTAACAGAAACAAATCGCACCATCCTTCTTCAAGTAGGATAATCTGAATGTAAAAAGTGATAATCCAATAATCTGGACTTGTGATTCAGCAATATTAACCATTAATAATATAATTCCGATTAATTAATTAATTAATTCCATAAAAGAAGAGAACCAAGCAAAAACCTTCTGAAAATTCTTTATAATCGAAAATACAAGAAGCGATCTGATGTGAACAAATTTTGCAAATTTATTGTTGCACTTTAATTTATGGAAATGCAATCGATTTATATTGTGTAATTTTTTCAACCACTGAATACCAAAAGATGTGAGAAAAAATCATGGATATTATAGATTTATTGATCCTGATAACGCTTTTGCCAAGAACCTTCTCATAGCTAATTCTATGGGCTTTGCTAAAAATAGTATTTATACTCTGCATTATTCCATTCAATCGTTTTAGAAATTTTCAGAAATTTTATTTTATTTCAGACAATTTGAAGAAAGTTATGAAGAGAGATTTGGCGCCGGATCGAGGGTCTTGGAAGGGCCTCCTATTAAAAGAAGGACAAGAAAATGGTGACTAAGGAAGATTAGCTGGAAGAAAAAATCCGATGAGGTTTGTTTGGAAACGACACTGTTTATTGCCAGTTGTTCATTTCTTTAACGCAATATTTTTGACGTCATTTACCAACTTAAAGGTACTATCAACAAGAAATTTCAAATATACCTGGTCTCGAAATGATAAGAGAGTAAACGACGGTAAATTTTTCGCCCATTTGATGGCCATAAATAGAAGGCGAGCTGCAGTCTCATGTACTGTTTCATTTTCCAATCCTTTTATTTCTTCAATGTTGCTTTCTTCTTTCTTTAATACACATATTGGAATTTTTTGCATAAATAAGAAAAGAACATAAATGAGCGAAGTATGTAAACAGTTCTGAAGGAAGGGTAGCTGAAGGCGACATGGATTAAGACAATAAATGCTTTATAAAGATATCAAACAAAGGATAAGGATATTATAAGGATATCAAAAAGATTCCAATAAAAGTAGAGTCATCCAGTAATAAAGTAATCATCGAGAAATTTCGACTCACCTCATTTGACTTGGCTCTTTCCTCTGGTGAAATGCTTTTGGCAGTACCAGAGGTTGAATCTGGTGTCTCACCTGCAGTAATCGTTGTCACTTTATCAATACATTCACTGCAATATGTCCGTTATTCATGTAATATGACCTTTTTTTTAATAGAAATCATCAATTACTATAGGCTCCTGTCTATTTCTAACAAATAGCATTTCACATTTCACTGATTGCATTAGCTATTAGGACTTGAAGGTGAAGGAATTTGGTCCTCAGCCTCATCCAGAGAAATAAATCTAATTTTAAAATTAAGATCCGGATAGATAGGATTAAAAGTGGAAATGAAAATCTAAAAAAATTAGATTAAGAATTTGAGTCATCCTTTTTTGGAAAATTATTTGTAAAACGAAAAATGGCTTAAGATGGGCTAATAAAAAGTAATGAACATAAGATTGCCATGGTTCGAGCAGAAAAAACAATCTATAAGACAATCTATAAAAAACAATCTATAAAAAACAATCTATGTATTTGTTTCGGCTGAAAATCGTGGGGTTCTTTTAATTACAACTTGAATTTTGCGACTAACATTGTTCATTTGTGCATAAATGATCTGCGCTTTATATAAATTTTCTGTAAATTTGCTTTTGATTGTGATATCATAATTTAATAAATGCTATCTCATTTTATGAATTCCACAAATTTGTGATAATTTTATTACTGAGAGAAAAAAATTGATGAATTGTGGAATTCAGGATTAATGCACGAACGAATTGTTGCCGCATTTCTCGGTTGTCGTTCATTTTGCACAGCTGCAATTTGACTTAAAATTTTTTTACGAATTCAGTTTTTTGGTTGTAAAATGCGTTTATAATAGATAATAAATGGATCATAAATTTTCAGAAAAATATTATAACTAATGGCTGCATAAAAAATTTCACCATCTTTATTCATGCCTTTGTTAAGACATTTTTTCAGTCGACATGCTTGGCATTGATTTCGATGAGCCTTATCAACTATGCATAAACCGGTACCCGCTTGACACCTGTATATTAATCGTCGACGAACACTTCGCTTGAAAAAGCCACTGCATCCATTACATGCCAATATGCCTAAAAATTTCAAATTACATCTTACATTAATTTTGATGATTGCGATAATATTCGCCCAGTTTATTGCCAAGACCAGGTTGAACGCACGGCATCCAGTCCATTCAGTGATTGATTCTTATAATAGTTCCTCCTTACAATGCCCTCAAATACCCTCAAATATTTTTCCCTCAAATTCTCTCTAACATTTTTTAACTAATTTATAATCTGATTGAAAATTAAATAGTAATATAAATAATGTAACATAAAGCTGCAAATTTTAGAAAATTAAAGATATCATAAAAGACTTTGTTATCACTTAATTATTAACTTAATAAATGGAACAAATGTCACATTTATGAAACATTCTAATTGTTAATTTTTATAAACTAATTCAGTGCCTAACAACATTTCTTTGAGTTAGAGTAATTCTTTAAACCATTCGAACGCTCAATTTTTTTCGTTAAAATTATGACTGTATGACTGGTTTTGAGCATTTTAAAAGCGAGCGATTCCCCCATTTACACGAGTATAAGCCTCATTACATTTTTTATTGCCATATAGGCATAAAGGAATGTTATTAATTGGACTTTCAATTCGCTACTATATAGAAATCTTATATTGTGAATTAGCCTAATAAACTTATGAGACAGAAAATTAAATGTTTGAATCACAAAAAAAGTAAAAAATCGAAATTGTTATAAACAAAACTAATGTTTGAAATAAATAAAGGTTTGCAAAATAAAGGCTTAAATGCGAGCTGTTTCAATGAAGATTGAACCAATTTTGTAATTTTTTCAACTTCTTTTAAAATTTGTTTGGAATTTTTTTGAATTTGAATTATTATTCTTCATTGTGTAATTTTTCAGTATAATGATGAATTAAAATCCTAAGAAGAAGAATTTAATTCCAAAAAAGTGGCTTTTAAAAATTCAAAAATTACGAGAAATGAAAATAATTTTTGAATTATTCAGTTTTTCAATTTCACAAAGATTGATCCCTTTTACACTTCGGATTTCAGCTTCGCGCTCATAGAAAAAAATTACAAGCGATTGAAATATTGAATCGCAAAAATATCCTTTAAATTTTTTTGACGCTGCGATGTATTGAAAATGACACATACCATAATGTTTTCCACTGGAAACATCACCACAAACAGCACAAGAAAGAGGAGGTGAAGAGCAGGCGTGATTTTGAGGTGATGACAATGATAAAAACGAGTTTACCGATATAGTTGTTGAATCGGTCTTGGTTGCTACTGGCGAACTAAACATCAAGAAAATTAAGAAAATTAGGAAATATTTGTCGAATAAAAATTTCTTTAATTAATATTTAATTAAGAAAATATTTGTTTGTGCACTTGTCATGTTCTATAAGACTTGAACTTATACTAATTGATATTTATATTTGCCCTCTTTCATATTAAACAATCTCAATAGTGCCTAATAAATCAGTTTAAAAATAATAAGTTAATAGCCCGGTGCAAGTGGCTTACCTGGTTTATTTTTATCCTTTCATCATTTTTAAAAGGTATTATTCAAATGATCAGTGAAGCTAGCCAAAAAATAGTAGTGCTATTGGAAGAATAAGAATAGTTGTATAAGCCATAAATCGGTTGGCTACAAGGCATAAAAGAATTGGATCAAGATCAATGAAGATAAAATTTATGATGATCGCTATATATGAACATTATTTTATACCGTAAGCAAAGGATAAACTGAGAGTCGATATAAAAAATATACACTGTTCGTTGTATTTGACGATGGGTGACAGCGCTCATAGCAGCGGACATAGCAGCTGCGGCAGCGAACGATGGTATATATGATGATGGAATTAGATTTGATGGTATGAATATCGATGGCGGAGCAGGCGGATAAGGCAATAGCGGACCGCCTGCTAAATTTGGCATTTTTGTGCATCCACAATGCGCGCCTGTAGAGCAATATCAGTAAGTAAATGAGCGAACGAACGTATTGCAATTCATTGGTAAAAATCTATCAAAAAGGCAGCTTCTGATAATTTAATAACATAAATATTCATCTTAAAATTTTTACAATTTATAAAATAATATGGAATTTATAATGTAATTTAGAATAAATTATAGGACAAACAATGGAGCCAAATTAACAGTTCCAACAGTTTTTGAAAGTGCTTATAAAAGGTGCAAACTATAAGAGACAACAGATGTACCAAAATAAATTCGAATTCCGAAAAAATGAAATGATTTTTGATATGTCTTCGATCGAAGTAAATATCAATCTCTTCCTTATTCATCATCATATTAGGGAAATTCATATATTTTTCATGATTTAAGTAACATAACTGTTTAGCCAGGGAAATATTTCAATTGTTTGGAATTAAATGAAACATGCACCAATTTCAATTAGATTTTTGCAGCTTAATTAATTCTGCTCAACCTCATTTTATTTCATTAATCTTAATTGATTCCTTTAACCTCGAACCTAATTCTACTCATCTTAATTTCATTCTTCACAATTAGCATCAAATAATATATGCGACAATAAATTCTTGTTCAATCTTTCAAAAAATCCTAAAAAATTTTAGACAAAAAATCTTTATTGGAATCTTCAAAGATTATCAATCAGTGAACATATTTGTGAAAATAAGCACATTCTCCTGAAATTTTTCTTATACTTTTTAAGGAGAATTTATTATTTAAATTTTTGTTTGGAAAAAAATTGTTGATCATATTTTTTCACTATTTATATATATAAATAAAATATTTTTTAAACAAATTTTCTATTTTTTATGCATTATTAATGCAAAAATTCTTGAATTTTACCAGAGATTTATTTCAAAATAAAATCTTTTTTATAAAAAATTTAAAAAACATTAATTTAATAATAAAAATAAACCTTTACAACTTTTTTGAATCCATAAATCAAGTGTCCAATTCTGTTGTTAAAAAAATAAACTTACTAAATTATTAAATCTAGAAAGTGAATAAAAAAATTGTAACACAATAATATTATAATAAAAAAATAATACCTTTGTCATTTATGGTGTTTGATGTCGAGAAATTCAAAGGTTGATCTTGATCATCAGAAGTTTGACTTGGCGGTGAACTCATTATTGGGCACGCGAATTGTTTACGGTAGATTGATAGAAGCTTGGTGAAAATTGAAGAAATTCGATGTTGTGAAATGATAAGGGATCAAAGTCGAGGTGAGCAATAGATTTTTGCCATTTTAATGTTTATTGGCTCAAAATTCGCATACAGCTCCACCCTTTGATTGACTATCACGAACACCACGCCTTAGTTCTCGACTGGCCACATTACTTTTTCATTACTTGATGTCCAAGGATTTGGATAATAAAAATAGAATCATGCAAAAAATATGAAAAATATAGTGAAAACAATTGAAAAATAAGGAATTATTGATGGCTTTTATTGTTGAATAAGTAAGTCCATTAAGTAACAGTTGGCTAACAATATATTACATTATATAACGCTGACTATTTACTGGCTCAAAGTTTCAAGAAACCTCATCTTTTTCCCAATAATACGTTCATTCTTGGTGTTTACTAACTCCGATCGGTTGCTTGTATGAAACTCTGATTTAATTAGATTAGATTAGATTAACTTAGATTTAAAGTATCTATAAAATAACAAGGTATCTATTTCTTCCAATTTTTGGTCAATTGTTTTAGAAGTTTCCCTCAGCAAAATTCTACGAAAAAACTGGTTTTTTTGTCAATTTTTTTATGAGCATTTTTTTCATTATTTTACCATTTATTTTACTATTTTTGGGCCATCAATTGTTTAAATAGTTCTAGCAGTGAGATTTGCACTAAATTTTTGCTACTATGAGCCATTGAAGGTAATGCGAAAGCCGAAACGCCGCACCAGAAAAACTCAGTTTTTTAGAGAAATTCATGTAAAAATTCACAGTCGAACATTTCTTTTAGTTATGCTATAATTAGAAAGTTCACCTCGCTGGAAACTGATTTAAAAAAACTTCCGATATTCTAGTGATTTTTGAGAAAAATTACTTTCCCTAAACATCTCTTGGGATAGTAATGGATTGTTGAAAAATTTATCTGACTATTAAATTTATAGATTACGAGATACTAATGCTTAATCCTTCTTTATCGACGTAAATGTTTCTATTTCTTTCATTTCTTTATTTTGATATTTTCCATAAAATTTCAAACCAAAATCCTTGAATTTTGCAAAATTTTTTGGCTTTTAATTTAATATTTGTTTGATGAAATTTAAACACTAATATTGTTGACTCATTAATATCGAAATGAGGAAACAATAAGCGCTTTCTTGATTTTTCATTTTAACATCGTCTATGATAAATAAAATTGTAAATTTCCTTTATTAGGCTAAAAAACTGGAAAATTTCCAAAAAAATGGGAAATAATAAAGTATAAAGAGAAAATGAGGAACTTTCATTATTTTTCGCTTTTTAACGTAATATTTATCGAAAAAAAGTGAAATTATAAAGAAGAGAAATTGTATAATATCTCCGAAACATATGAATTTAGCCATTATATATAAAGCAAGCTTAATAAGTAATTTAGATGATTTGTCTGTGGCAGGTTCACATTGCAAATCACATTAGGATTTTATTGCCTTTGCGGCACAATAATCGACATAGATCCCTAATCTCATCAAACCAACATCTCTTTCTACCGTATTAAAATGCCTATCAACTAATATATTTACACATGCCAAGCTAACAATTTCCACTTCACTCTTCCTTCCCCATTTTCGCAGTTAATTTAAGACCAAATTATTTGACATTTCAATTATTGCGAAGACCAACAAATTACTTTAATTTCAATTCGTTATAAGTGAAAACCAAATATTTAAGAATTGTTTTTCCAAAATAATAATATTTTATTAAAAGACGATTTATTTGTTTCATCGATTTAAATATTTAATGAGAGAAAAATAAATATTACAAATTATCTAAAATATTATAAATTTTTATCTTTTTCTCGCTTATTTGTCATTTAAATTGCAAAATTAAAGATTTTATGGATTTTAAAACGCTAAGTAATCACGAATGAACTATTACAAAGAAAAGAATAATTTGCTGGCAATTTATTGAATTTATAAAACATTTTTATTGAACAATTAATCTTTCTCCTATTTACCATTTTAACAAATTTTATTGTTTAGAAAAAAAATGGCAGCCAACAAAACATGTCGAATACTTTTATGCAGTGTTTCTAGAAATGAAAACAATTCCACTATTTATCAAAAATTTAAGAAATGGCTTATCGGAGTCTTTAGAAATAGGTAAAAAGATTTGTGCGTATTTGCATATGAGCGACTATCAAATGTCAACAAGAAACATAAATTATTTCAAAAAAAATCCTTGTGAATTTGAACACAATTTTTTCCAACTGTTTGCTTAAGTTTACCACTTCGAAATGAACAACTAAATAATTTGATAAGTTTGAAAAAACGTAAAGCTTTCTGTAAATAATGATAATATAAATTATTATTATCTGTTAATAGTAAACAAGTTTTGTCATTTTTTTTATTGCAAAAAAAGAAAAATAAAATTTTTGAAAAGTTTTTTTGCTAAAAATTCACCATTTTTTTATTCACCATTTAACATTTCGAAAACTGAAGAAAGTTAAATCAAATTTTGGCATAATGTTTTCACATGGATTTCGCACATGTCTTTGCCTTTGCTTTTAGTTCTCTTTTTTTAAAGCCATTTTGCTGATAAATAAAAGTACATCCAGCAGTTGAAAACCACGATATGGCAAATGCTCAATAAAACTCACTAAATTCTCTAGAAAATGAAAAATATGTGACTTAAAAGACCACATATATGTACGGCTTGCATCTGCTTTTCTATAGCGGCCCTTTGACTAGACTAAATTTTTCATCGCAACGGCCAGTGGAGCTAAACCAAAAGTTGGTGCTTTATATGAAAGAAAAAAACATGATGAAAACTTAAGAAGCTAAAGCTAAAGCGATAAGCCATTTTTAAACCACAAGGCTGATACAAAAGCTTCAAGATAAAACGATTGTGCATTTAAACCAATTGTATCCTATTTGATTTTTTAAGAAACCACTGGAAAATAGAATAAATTGGATTAAGAACGACTGAAAACGTATATGAATAAATAAAATCATAATAAAAGCACAAAGGACTGAACTATGACCCTCGTAAAATAAATGAAATCAAACCATCAGAAATGATTACAATTAATTTTTCAATTATTCTTATAATATTAGTGGCTAGCGATTATCACAGATGGTCACTTATTAAGATCCAGCCGACTTTGCAATACTACCTTAGTATTCGCCAATATAACATTTCCCCGCAAAGCAAAATATTTAGGAAAATTCAATTAATTTTCATGAACGGTGGCGATGAATATCAATTAATCATGCATCTTTTATTGAATGCAGTGAAATAGCGATTCGAGGCTGGAGATTATTTTATTATTACTATTATTTATTATTGTTGTCAATCCAGAAAATTAAGAGCATTACAATGATTTGTTATTAATTTTAATAATTCAAGTTAATGTCAAAGAAAAAAGAACCTAAAAAATCCTCAAAGAATGTTACAAACTGATACATTGATATTATTCTTTTCTTTTTTTTTGAAAGTCCTCACCATCATTGGTTAAACTCGGTCCACTAGATTGTCGCACTGGATCAATATATTTCCTTGCCAAGAAAAGCATAAGTGAGTCGACAGCGTCACCTGGATTTTTCGACAGATTTACTCCTGCGGGGAATAGAGAAAACCTCAGCATCCGTGCTCCAAACTGAGCTTATTAATATCTATTGCTATGCAAATTTTATTCATTTTCTTAAAATTGTGGTTGTGTTGTTGTGGTTCCAATTTATTTAGTTCCATTGACCTGGATAGAATGGCTCAGTAGGTTATTGCACAATTGGGAGGCCAAGGGACTTCCTGGCATATTGCTCAATGAGACAAGCTAGTGGAGCGAGTTTAACCAGTAATTTAATGGTGAGGGACTCTTTAAAAAATGTTCCAATGACCATTAGAATGAGGTCTTTTTTTCGACTCGATTCATGAAGGTATATATAATGGCCCATCAGATATCATTATAATATTATCATTGTAAGAAGAGATTTAGGTCCGCTAAACGTGGCTAAGAACCATTAAAGAACCATTATTCTAAAAATTGTCTAAAATAAATAAATATGAAGGTAGCATGCTATGAGAGAGTCTTAATCCTCCTGAAAAACCGGAAAAAGCTCAACTATATTCTATAAAATTTATAAAAAATTCTATAAAATTTCAATATAGCACTTCTGTTGCATTTGTTCCATTAAAGTTGAACTAAATGAATTAAGAATTAAGTTCATTAATGTAGACATCAATGTAGATATTTTGATGGATCTTTACCACGTTTCCTTATAAGTCAATATGCTAAAATTATAATATATAAAGTATTCGAGGTTAAACCACTGAATTCAATGAATTTCTATGGTTTTCGATGAAAATATTTAAATGAAATGATAAAAATTAAGCCATTATGCCAATGCATTTTTGCGACATCTTTGACAAAAAATTTATCAATCAACTTTTCCTAAGCTTTGTAAGAGGAAGATTTATATAGATAAGAGAAGTTTGTTTTTGCTTAATAATCGCTTAGAAAAGCTGAATATGAAAAGAATTTGTAGTTTACAAGTGAATTTTCAAATTTAATCCGATGCTACAATATTAAAAATTCGTTGATAATGGGAATTGATATTTTTTTGTGATAATTGCAATTTAAAATAGGTCAAATTTTTAAAAAATTGACTGTTTCTAGGTCAAAAATTAATTGAAATTTCATACATACCTATGCAATATTGTAAGTACATTGTTCAAGGTCACTTTCAAGAAAAGTGTTGTATGATAATTTCATTTATTAGGAGAATAAAAAGGAAAGATGTAAAGGATTTGCCGTTTTGTTACAAATGGTTGAGATACCAATACCATTTGGTGGTTTAGATTATTTCGTATAAATTCTTTTTCTCTCAATAGTTTTTGGTTTCACTCCACTGTCTCGTTTTGTGAGGCGTTTATATGATCCTTTCGCTACAGAATCACTTAGGATAGATGGACCCACTTAGTACAGATTACAGTTACAAATAACACAGTTGTTTTTTTTTGCTCGGTGAAATATTTTTTTTATTTTTAATCTTTCCACCTTTTATCAATAATTCTACTCATTGAACTTGGCCATATAAATTACAGAACCTCTTTACAGAATTTAATAGTCAGATTTTCAAAAAATAAATTTTAACAATTTTAAGTCAAGTTTATTTTTTATATTTTTGCTCAGCACTGCTGCTTGATGAATGACCAAATGACCAAATAAACTTTTAGGCTTTTAGGCAATTGAAAGTATTAACTATTAATAGAAAAAATAAGCCTGAAAAATCAATACAATCAAAGTTGCCGAAACTAATCGCAACGTTGTCGAGTGCCAACCCGATTTTAAGGCCTATATTGGCCGTTTACTTTCAGCCATGAGCGATAAATATTTTACTCGTTTGGCTTATTCAAGTCTATTTATTAGTACAGTTGCATTAGTCGTTATTATCGCAACGATTCCACCGCTATTGAATGCAGTCGAGAATGAGAGAGAATTTTTAGAAAGTCGATCACTTGAATTGCAGGTTTTTTAAATTTTTTGCTTTTTTCACTAATCGCGAAGAATTTCGTAAATTTTTCATAGAATTTCTGTATTAATTTACATATTTCTTGCATAACTGCGAAACGTTTTAGGAGAAATCTAATGCACTATGGGAAAATTTAGAAGTTTTAAGAAATGTCGCCAGAAGTCTGTATGAAACGCGAAATACGCGATCAGTGTGGCACAGCGGAAAATGTCGCGGTAATATAGTTCGAGCATTTTTCGAAATTAAATTTTACTTCTTTTTCTTTCTCTTCTTTTCTTCCGACAGAAAGCGTTATTTCTGGCTTAGCTGACCTCATTAAAGACTTTTGAAGGATGCTTAAATGATCCTTTTGTCAGACTTATGTGAGGACAGAAATAAAGATGGATCTGCAGCAGTCATTACAGTTGCATTATCTTTTACTGCTGGATAAGATTTGAAGCCGTGCGATATATGGAAAAAATTAAATGCCATTATTTTTATTGTAGATACATATGGAATAACTTTTGCATAAAACTGCCAAAACTGTTTACCTTAATTCCAGGATGTTTCCTACTTGCATGTCCACTTGGAATAACAGGTCCTCCTGGACCTCCTGGTGCTGATGGCAGTCCAGGAGATTCTGGAAACCAAGGCCCTCCAGGAGAAGATGGATATGATGTAAAACTCGAAGCGGAACCAGACCTCCCTTGCATTATATGCCCAGCTGGACCACCTGGATTAAGGTATTTTCAAACCTAAACGGTTGTTCAGCTATTCATTGCCATTTCTTTTATTTTTTAACTATCAGTGCAAACTTTACAAATTTTAGAGGTCAACAAGGTGAGCGTGGCAGAACAGGCGAACCTGGTATTCGTGGGATGAAAGGCCCACATGGAGGTCCTGGAACTGCTGGTGCGATAGGACGAAAAGGAAACCCAGGTCCACGAGGACCAAAAGGACCATCCGGACGACGAGGACCCGATGGCGATACTGCTGTGGCAGGTTTCGCTTTAACACACTTTCGGAAAATTTTTTATATATTAATTTTTTTATAAATCGTAAAGGATCTTCATAAAATTCAAAAATTTATATTAGGTATTGGAATAAAAGGACATAAGGGACCTCTGGGCCCAGCAGGACCAAAAGGGCCAATTGGGCCAGCTGGTAAGCCATCAAAAACTCCGGGGCTCTCTGGAAAACCTGGGACCATCGGACCTGTCGGGCCACCAGGACGGCCAGGGCTATCAGGAGAAAATGGATCATGGGGACCACCTGGAGAACCTGGTAAGTTACCATGCAACATTTTTTTTACGAATTCATATTTTTTGCTTTTTTATAACACAAGTTTAAATGTAATCTATAATCTAAATAATACAACCTTAATTCATTGTTACTATAGTGGTAATTTTAAAGATGAGGTTATTCGAAAATAAACGATATAGTTTTAGAAAAGACTCCATTAAAACTCCATTTATAACTGTTAAATTTTCTTATTAATTACTATGCTTGCGTAGGAACTTTAGCACCTCTAATTGTGGTGCGTTAATGGGACGATTTTTTTTCGCTTCCTTAGAATCTGTGAAAATCATGCCAAACTTCCAGTTTTAAATGAAATTTACCAACATTCCCTTTTCTTAGGCGAACCAGCATCTTACTGCGCATCGGACTGCGGCATCTCTCAAATCGTAGCTCCAGCCCATCATCCCTTCTTGTATCCATCACCTGAAGTCACCGAAATTTATAGCGATCTACATGCCGCTAAACTCGAGAACAAATTCAACCAGGAAGACTATTTATGGCTTTTAAAAAATTGATTTATGAAATGAAATTTTTTCCAATTTTTGTAGTTGTATTGTTTGCCATCCTTCTTCTAACCCACCGCTTCTTCTCTACTGACAACTATTCTTTTCAACGATAATTTTGGTTTATACAATGAGAAATTGTAAAAAGATCGAATAAAGTTATTAACAAGAAATTACAATTACAATAAAACTAGATGGAATAGCCGAAAAGTTTAATGACACTAAATTCGAAAATTAATTGTGCTCAATTCAATTCTCATTCCCAACTTTTGATTATAGAAACTTTTTAATCATAAAATTTAAATAAAATATTCTAGATAATAATACGATCTTTAATCCATTATTTACAATAGTGATAATTTTAAAGGTAAAATAATAAAATTATTCGAGAATAAATGAATTTTTGAAAAACAAAAAACTTTAAAAAAACTTACATTAAAACTTTGTCTATTAAATTTTGCAATTAATAAATAAGCAATAAGCATTAAAAAAAAACAAATAATATAAAAATACAAAAATCGCAATACAATCGCAACAAAAACATTAGAATTGAAAATATTCAAAATAAATAAAATATTATAAAGTGTAAGGCTTATGGCAACTTTAAAAAGTGTAAAAGCCAATTTAAATAAAAATGAGTAAAAAAATTTTTGGTATATCATTTTTTTCGAGTATATCTATTGAAGTTAAAATTGGAAAACCGAAGCATTCGTAAACGAAGGTAAGGAAAGGAAAAAATATGACGGTTAGTGAATTTGCTACAAAATATTGAATTACAAGAAATGGTGCAAAAATAAATAAACTGGCACGAACTTTCAGAGGTGTGAATGAATTACAACTCTAAAAAATAAAATACACGTGTATAAAATATTAATAACAAAACTAAGGCACACCTAGAAATAACCAACCACAAATTAACGCACCTATAGCCATTTCACAATAAACCATCAATGAAATCAGTAACAATTTTATGAACAAGCTTAATTTATAAAGTAGCGAAGAAAAAACTATAACTAAAGGAAATCCAGTTAAACGAGAAATAGATGCTTTTACACTTGCAAATAGCAAAAGTGGTTGAAATTTACATGTGAACTTTACAGTTATTCTAAATGAAATTGTAGTAAATCATGCATGACTTCAATTTTTTTCCTGCAGTCCATGAAGGCCATTTTTTGGGTAAGTTTTAATTATCAATTTGAACTAATCTGGCCATGTTTCTTTTTGTATAATTGATTACAAATTTCGAAAAATTGATTACAAATTAGAATCAGAAAACTGGATATATTAAAGAATCAAGAGAAAATTATGAGCCTTAAAATGATCTTCTATGGTCTTCGGACTGTTGTGATCGATTTCCTGACCAAAAATGGTTATTTAGATATTAAAATATAAAATAAATAATAGCACAAATAATTTTGCATATCAATACACAATTGTCTGCTATAGCGTGAATATAAATAATTTGATCTAATAATTTTTACTGCCTATTATAATTTAATTTAATTAACATAATTTTGTTAATAATTTTACATAAAGCTAATAGAAAAATAATAATTTTAAAAAGGTGCATTAAAAGGCTTCGAATGGCCTCCAGTACAATCAAAATCTGCCAAATGAGCCTTCTTTGCTGCGATTGCATCCAGTATTGGTTGTCTTTTCGTTTGATATCGAAGTTGCAATTCTCGTAATTCCATATCCATTTCTTCTTCTAACCCATTCCTCCTTCGAATCAGCTCATCTACACTAAGATCGGCCAGCTAGAATTTTCACCATTTTGAAATTACTAATTGTACGAAATTATTTCAAATCATTGCGTCTTCGTCTTCCGAAATAAACAATGAATTAACTCCTTAATCTCTTTTAATTTTTCTCATCCAATACGAATAAACAAAATATTTCCAGAAATAGATGAAAAGCAATATCTACAGTATTCAACTTACAAAGCTATATTCGCCGTTTAGAACTCCTCCATTAAATTTATTCGCACCATCAAAAAAATTTGACTCGAACACAGTTTTAGGCGCATAAGATGGACCGTTGTTAAACGCATTTTCGGACACAATAACGCTCTTGTTTGAAGAAAAAGCTGATAGTTGATCCACTGATTTTTCGCCCGATGCAACATTTGGTAGTGGTTCCATGTGGTTTTGACCCGGCACATCTGAACTTGGAAATAATTTTGAAGATAAAAGTATAATTTAGCCTCGAATTATAATGAAAAGTGGGGAGAGCATGGTGGCAATTGTTGCTTGGATTTTCTAGTACGAAAATCCAAACTCTGATGAACGCTAATGATAAATGCCAATTTACTGGCTTTATTTGCAATGAACGATATATATTTTAAAAAATTTAGTTTTAACTTTCACTAATAAAAATTATTACCTTTTTAAATTTCCAGAAATTTTTCAATTTAAATTTTTGCGGTTTTTAAAGCGCATACATTATAGTCTCATGATCGCTTTATCGTCAATTTAAATTTAAATTCAAAATTTAATCAAAATTTGAAAATTTTCATTCTGGAATAAAGAAAAAAAATAAAATTTACCCGTATAATTCGCTCCGTTTGCCGCCTTACGTTGCTGCATTCCGAGGATGTGTGTGGTACCACCAGGTGGAGGCAACTCAGTAATCTGAACGGCACGAAAAGCTTCGACTAAAGAATCATCATCAGTTGTTTGAAACATCTGACCTAAATAATATAAGTGATAAATAATTAGAAATGAAAAAAAATTTAAAAAAACATCAAAATCGAATGAAAATGTCTAAAGAAAATAAAACATATTTTAACAAGGATAAAAATTTAATAAAATAAAACCATTTAAAGTAGGTAAATCATGACGAACAAGTGTTGCATTGATAGTGCCCGCATCATTTCGATCACTTAGAACCATCGTGCATTCGCTAATTTCTTCATAAATAATCTAAAAAATAGAAATAAAATTGTAACGATCTAAGAACTTTTCTCAATTTCAACAAATATTTAATAGTACTAATGAAATCAGCTGAAATTATCCTTTTTATTATTTTGCTAACGCTTTATTTTTTCCTTTTAATATTTTTAATTGAAGAAAATAAATCTATTTAAAAACATTGAATCTAGCATTTCCTTTTTTTCTTTAACGCTGAAACTAACATTTTCTTTAGCACTTTCTTGTTGCATAACTTTTGCTTCTTCGATCATTCTTTGCAGTAAACTTGAAGATGCAGCATTTGTATTAAAAGGATGCTAAATACTATTTATAATATTAATATGGGTTCATGCATATTATATCCACTATACTTTGTTATTTTCGCCATTATTTTTCTTATTTTGAAAAATTCTTTTGGACATGTCGCAGTGAAAATGCTCATATCATCCAATCGCACCAAAATGAATTAATCCACCACATACGATAAGTTTTCTCTGTATTTTGAAAGCTGAAGTAAAAAAACCCATAAATAGTAAATCTAATTAAAAACGATAAATCGTTTTTAACTTACCTCCATAAGTTCCTTGGCTGATTTTCGGTCATCTGGATTTTTTATTAAACACTGTGAAACGAAATCATTGAAATCATCAGACCAATCCGATGGGACTTTTAAACTTGGTGGCGGTTTCGTCGGAATCATGAATATTGCCTGCAAATCAAACGTTGCAGCATTCGCTCTGATTTTTTTCTATAGTATACAATATACAGTATTGAAAAAATATAAAAAGCTGGAGTAGAACCAACTATATAAAAATAAACGAGAAAAAGCAGCTAATTTTACCCGCATTGGATGTATATCAGCATAAGGAGGTTTTCCTTCAGCCATTTCAATAGCTGTAATACCAAGAGACCATATATCAGCCTTGGTGTCATAACCTATTTCTTGGATCACTTCTGGAGCCATCCAAAATGGCGTACCAATAACTGTATTTCTCTTGGCCATTGTATCCTAAGAAGATAAATTAATATCCTTGATGCAGAGAAATTTTTTAAAACCTTATGTAACCTTTCTGTTAAAAATTAACCGTTAATTGACCAGCGACTCCAAAATCAGCTAATTTTGCATGGCCTTCGGTATTTAGCAATATATTTCCAGCTTTTATATCTCGGTGAATTTTTTTAAGATCATGAAGATATCGAAGACCTTCCAATACATCGCTAAAAAATAATCATTAATTTAATTTTCATAAAGTATTTTTTAATGAGAAATATTCACAGATCAAAAAGATACAAACCGAATAACCACAGCAATTTCGCCTTCACTTAGTGTTTTTCGACGGATTTTCATTATATCAGAAACAGAACCTGCACCACAATATTCCATTACTATCTATAATATAGAATTTAATGATATTCATATATAATTTCTGACAATACTAATACCATTGTCATTTAATATTAATTCATGCATATTTTTGGTTGAAAAAACCGTAAATTAGTAAAAATGAAAAAATCGATTCAGGTGAATAATAACATTAATATTAATATTAAACATACCCAAAGCTCAGAATTTTTAAAATATGACCCGTAATATTTCACAACATAATCACTATCACATTGTTGCATAATACTAATTTCTTTAATAATTTCTTGCAAATCTGTATCAACTGGAACTTTCTTGACTGCTAAAACATGACCTGTCTGCTTATGTATAGCTTTATGTACCGATCCATATGATCTGAAAATATTAAATATTTAAAAAAAATTCTCTATTTTATTTAAATAAAAGGAGTAAAAAAATGGAAGCCAATACTTCCACTATATTAAAATGTTTATATTGATTTATATTATATACTATAAAAAAATAAAAAAATTACTTGGATAAAACTAATAAAAAAATGTACAAACCCTTCACCAAGTTTCCCAATCACATCAAATATTTCTTCAGGTGATTTATTTAAAGCTGAAGCGGGCAATTTAAAACGTTCTCTATAAAAGAAAAAAATCGTGTTAAGAATGAAAATTATAATTTTTATCCATTTTTAAAATAATTATGAAATTTTAATTCAAAATCGGAAACTTTCGAAGACTAAAAATTTGAAGAAAAATAGAAAATTACCTCGATGGATTGGAAGATTGTTGTTTCTTTTCCTCATTCATCACTAACCAAAAAGAAAATTCTGAAAAATTAAAATTGTTAATAACTATTTACAAATTAAATTATATACTAAAACCGTTTTATTTTGAAAACAAATTATTCAATAACGATATTTTCTTTATCTGTCAAATCAGTAGATAAATGATTTATTGTAGCATTCACTGCAAAAACGGTCATCAGTACTGGATGGATTCGTTCTTCTGTTGAGCTTCGATGAATCTCAAAGGGATATAGGAGAAAGAGATACAAGTGATATTTAATTTTTTAAGAGGTTTACTTCTATCAAAAGCCAGAAAATAAAACTATGATGCTCAAAGCGAATCAAAGCAATCAGTCCACTTTACCAAAGTTTCCGATTTTGAATTAACCCAACGAATAGGCAAAACTATCTTTAAAGCCAGGTTTATATGTAATATCGCCTTTAAACCCCATTCATATCCTATCGTATTTCCAGGTTCTCCAAATCTTCATTTTCACCATCATCCGATTCTCCACTATGATCTCTCAACAATCTAAGTCCCCATCATACTATCCTCTATGATTTTCGAAGTAATGGCTAAAACCGCGGAAAAATGTAAAATTTGACAGGATGTCAAAAAATATCGGAGCATAATGAGCTATAAGTGGATCCTTGAGAGAATACAAGAGATAGAGAGTTGGAGAGGGGCTTAAAAGGTACTATTAACGATGAAGAGGATCGTTATGAAGAGAAATAACGTAGTATTATGGAGCTATTTAAGGAGATTGAGGAGATTTTTAGAGAAATATGTGTTCTGCGGATAAAGGTTTTGCTTAAAAATTACAAGACAAGAATTTATAGCCAGGTCGTGTGGCCAAAATTCTTTCGAACTGCACATGCACAATCATTCAAAAAAAGTAATATATAATTTGATTATACAGATGATAAAATACGATGCAAGTTCCTGAACCGAAGAAACATAAAAGAAAAAGAAAATTTATCACAAACGCTGCATCATTGCATCCAATGAAAATACCACTGCATTGTGTAAATATTGCTTTAACAAAGCAAGAAATGGAAGAAAGTATTCTGAAACAACTTTATCATTTGGAAAATTCAGTAAAAAAAGTAAATTTATTATCAACAATTTTCTTTACAGGGGCGCTTACTAATTGTAATTAGACTCGTTCCGCTCGCTTGACAAACTAAATAAATCTTGCCATAGAATTCATTTAAGGATAAAAATACAGGTTGAGAACCATCCAGGTTTAAGAAAAACAGGTTCGCCTCTTTCGGGGAACAGAAACCCCGCTTTGGTACTTCGAAATGCGAGTGGCAAATCATCCTATCCCGTTAAAAACCTTAACCTACATTTAAAACAAACGACTCCAAAATATAAATATTTGAAAAAAGAGAAAACAATTTACTTAAATAAATAATTCATAGTTTTTTTAATTAAAATAAATTGGTGAAAAATTATAAATTAATAGAAAACCAATAACAATGGGATGTTGCCAGATGGAAACCAAAGGTCAGAGGTCATGACCACTTAAAACCGAAGTCAACAAGCCTCAATCATTATTAAAATGAGTAATAATGCTGACCTCAAAAGCGATGAAGCATAAAATTTATTTTGGATCTTCGCCAAATTTTATGAATTTCGTTGTAAGACCAAGCATTATTTTCCATTATCAATATTTCTTATGGCTCATCAGTTAGTCCATCCTTTATCATTGCTATCAGTGTTTTGATAAAGTATTTTCCATTTGATTCTTTTAGTTGAGCAAATAATATTTTTTAGTGGGAGGTATACAGATTAACATGCTTGTGACGCCGCGCTATGCTTTTATTCTTCTTTGCCATCTTCTGTTTATCTTTTCTTTTTCTCTTTTGGTTTTACTGGTTCCACGAAGTAATCATCAAGCAACCAGCCGTTGGCAATTGCCCAGGGACCATCGCCTTTCTGCTTTAATTGACTATTTAATTTTATCAAAGAGGTGAAATCAGCAATTCTGCTCATCCTTGGCCGAACCAACAGCTTCCTTCCGCTCATTTTTTCTTGTGAAAGTATTCATGATTTTCCATCAAGTTATCGTAATTTTATAAAAGTAAAAGTAAAACTTTATAAAAATAGTTTATAGATTAAATTCGATAAATTTTTTTTTATCTTCTGATTGATTAAAATTATCATTCTTCTCATTCTTTGTCAGAATAGCGAAATCTTTTTCATTGATTAAAATGCTGATTTATTATTGGAATATATTTAAATATATTCAATGGTGTTGATAATCGGTATATCAAAATTTTTTTAAAAATATTCCAAAATCTGTTTAATTGTATGCGTTTATATTTATTTGCATCTTTCTTCATGCATGTTTGCTTGTATGTTTCAATTAAACAATTCAAAATTGATTGAATAATGCGGCGTCATCACGCGTTTATTTCATAAAATATGACCTAAATAATTTAATCGTCTTTTTTAAAATAAAGGCCAAAATATTTTTTCTTTGATTTTCCCTGCCTGAAATTTTTCCACATAAAAACATTTTTGGCATTTTCATGTTTTAAGAAATTCGTTGTTTCGACAAAATCTTATAAAGTAACGTAGTTTCAGTTTATTTTTGACCGTAAAAAAGCACGGCCATTTATATAATGGGCCGCACTTTCATTAAGACAACATTGCGCTTGAGCAACGCGGGCAGTAGTTTCCTTCAGGTGTTGATGAACGAAGGTCGCGTGACAGTCGTTTTTCGTAGTTTATGAAATTTTGATTGAAGGAGTAGGGATAAATTTCTGGGGAAGAGAAGTATTTGAGTAAGTTATTTATCTAAAGGTAAGCGAGTGAAAAAATTCTGGTTTTTTTCACGATTGCGGTCAGTGTTTTTCGGTTGGTTAATGAACTTTTTTTCTAGAAAACAATTTGCAAATGTCATCACCACAGTTACCGCGAGAATGTGTACCACTTCAGCTTCCTTCATGGGACGAAATCGACTCAGCCGAAATGAACTGTAGTGGTTCGGAATGTGAATCGGAAAGTGACCAAAGCAGTTCAAGGTTTATTGGACCATCTTTGCCGCAGGGTTTAACTTTTATCTCAGAAAAGATCTATAAAAAATTCCTTTCCTGGTCCCCTGTGGGTGATATGGGTCTCCTTCAACTTCACTTAACTGAGATTTGAGCGTTTTGCGCAATATCTTGGTTGTTCCTGGCGCTGCACTTTTCTCTTTCTAGAATTTATTCCTATAATTATGATTTTACTGCCTTCACCGGAGTGCGCATCAGCTGTTCGTATTTCATTGTAATGGAAGTTTTTTTTCCGTTAGATTTATAGAAAACGGATTTATGATGCGAAAGCAACGTAAGAAAATAATATTATTAAAATATTTTGAATAGAATTCAGAGTGTAATTTTTTCCGTTCTATTTGAATAGAATTATGAATTGAGTATAATATCATTTTTACTATTTTTTTTCAATTTAATTTCATTAGTTCATTTTTTAATAAGTTTCAGCATATAGAAATATAAAAATCAAGGCTTTTCTCTTGATTTTTAACTTTATAAGTTTTTGGTTTTTTTTCAGTTTAAACTTTTGTTATAAATTTTAAAAAGATTTGAAGATTTTTTAGAAGGCTTATGAAATTTTTTAGAAAAATCGCATAGTTTTTAGTTTTTTTCCTCACAGATTTAGGTTTTTCGATATTTTTAATGCATAATTGTATGTAATATAGGTGATTCGAATTGTTCCTGTGGTTTTTTTTTAAATTGTTGTTAAATTGATTGATTAATTTCAGTTTTATTTTTTGAAATTATTTGTTTATTATTTTAGTATTTTTATTATAATTGTTTTGATTATATTATTTTCGTTTATTTTTTTTCTGATTCATCACCTTACTTTTTTTTTTCAAAGTTTGGTTGCCTTTTGATTTTCAGAGCTGTTTCATTTAAAACCTCCATTTTTGAATATATTAAATTTCTTTAAGTTAAAATTATTTCATTGGAAGTGATTTATTTGATTTTTATCATAATTCCAATAGATTTATGGAAAAAAATTTCTAGAATAAGTTTCTAAAATAAAAAAAAACGTTTTTCATTTTTATTGTTATATTTTTTTCTTTTAGGCCTTGATTCTTCATCAAGAGATGAGATTGAAGATTTAGCTGGACCTTCGTCAGTAGCTTCGATCGATACAGAACATCCTTCTCTTGATCCCTCACATCTATTTATTGATCATCTTCCCAATAGTATTTCTGATAACATTTCATCATTTGGTCGGTTTTTAATCCGTTTTTCATCAAATTTCATCAAAAAATTTATCAAGTTCTATCGATTCTATCAAAAAATTTTCAGGAAATTATTAAATCTTATTAGAAAATTGGCAAAATTATGTAGTTTTTAATTTATTGTTCATGTAGGATGCGCTTTACCACCAACAACACTTTACGGGAATAACGGTAGCAGTGATGATGATCCTGAAGATCCGGGTGACCCTGAAGATCCAGATGGTAAGGTCTTTCCGGTATTTTCTTGTGGTTTGTTTCCTATTAAAGTTTCCAATTTGTTTCCAATTTTAGTCTTGGATATTCTCCTGTTGATGGCGTTATCTTCGATTTTTTATAATGCGGGATTTATTCTTTCTTAGCTAGATTCAAAGCATAATTTAATCTAATGGTTAAAACGTAATGAATATTAATTTTATATTTTAATTTAAATTGCTTTGGATCTTTAAAGATATATTTTTTCAGATTTCTATGGTTAAATTTATTTATTTTTCAGAAATGCTTTATTCGCATGGTCCATCTGTTCTGCCAGCATCATATTCTTCACCATCCCGTCATCCTTCATCGAATTCGACGACTTCAGTGAATCTTCATAATAATTTTTCACCTTCTCTTCCTGTTGAAGAAACAAAAATTGGTTATTTTATAATTAATTGTATTGTCAGTTTCATAAAATATAATAATAGTTATAATAATAGTTATGTTTTTAAGATTATTTTAACTTTAACTGATAAACTTGTAAAGATTTAGAACATGGAACAACACTGCCACCACCTGAACCAGAAGAAACGAGAACATTATTGCGATCAACAAATATTCACCACAGTAAAGATTCAAAGTTCGTACAAACCAGTATACCTGAACTTCCGATCAGTCGCCATTTTGCACAATCTTTTCTGGTAAATCATTCATTTAATATTTCATCAGTTTTGAAACTGTCCATCCGAAAAATGTTTTGCAGCCTTCAAATGAATCAAATTCAAAAAACAATTATGAATCTGCATTTGGGCCAACTATGCCTCTGGATTTATATCCACAGCCTTCAGCTTCATCGTACCCAAACGAATTTGATGTTGAAATACCGATCGAGAGCGATGAGCATCATTCAGTTGGGGAATCAATCGACAACATAATAGGTTGATGATTATTAGATTATTAAAGTTATGACTGATCTATTTTTATTTTTGTTGGTTTTTGTGGAAAATATTTATAAAAAGAAATGTGGTAAAATACGAATGAATTCAGGGCCAATACCTCCATGGGAACAAAACAGTGAAGCAATGGCAAAAGATTATGAGGATCGTTTTGCTAGATATGCATTATGCAAAACTATTGAGGTTTATTTTGTCGAAATTTTTTAAATTAAAATTCTGTTGAGGGGTTTATATCTATTCCTTACATTTTTTGTATTCGTTAGATAAATCGTATAAAATTAAAGGCACCAATAAAAAAGCGAGAAGAATGGATGTTGAAGCCACCGACAAAACTCGGAAGAATTGCGGGTTGTTCTTCTTTTTCCCGAAGCTTAAGCGGCAATGCAGCAAATGATGAAGGTATCCGGAACTGGACGGAGACCCCACTGGAAAAAGCCAAAAGAGTAAGTGAATTATATTGTTATTGTTATTTTTAGCAATATTGCATTTCATTCTAATTCACGAAGTTTCAATTTAAGCTCGGTTTTGTTGATTGCGTTTCATTTCTGGAAAATTCTGGAAAGTCGCAGAAGTTGCAAGATCCAAAACAGAAACCATCTGATGCAAGTGTTTATTTTTCAAAGTTTTTATAGTCGTAAGTTTGATTAGAATTTAGAAAAAAATGTTCGATTAAGAGTTCTAGTTCTTATTATTTTTATAAAATACCTTTCCCAGAGATTCATTGAAAGTAGAAGTGTGAGTCTCCAGCGCCACAGGACTTCAATTTTAAGAAAAGGCTTTTGCTATCAAGTTGGTGGTTGACATCAGTCGATGCTTTTTCGGCTATCTTGCCCTTTTTATAGTGATTCGAGAAAAGCGAATAGGTTTTTGCTGTAATAATAGGTTCATCCTTTTGCTTTTCATAATAGGTTTATTCTAACCAGAGGATGGACAATCGAACTCATATCTTCACTCGCAACAATCTATGAAACAAATACATGAAAGATGACTAAAGATGTTATCATTAAAATATTTAAAGATTTAAAAAAATATTTAAATTTTTAGGCTGAGGGAACGTCTAGTAGTGGAAATATTTCTTTACTCGAATTGCATCGCAGAAAACGAAAATTGGATGATGATAAAGTTAATATTTATCGTTTTTTTGTATTTAGTTTTATTATGTTCCATTATTAAATTATATTCACTCGTTTTTAGCCGATGATTCGTCGTCCATTTGATCGTGAACGTGATTTGCAGGTTTGTATTATGGGTTTTTTTCCCTTGTAAACATCATCAGTTTTGTTTTTATGATGAAGTCATTTATTTTTTTGTATATTTTGTACATTTTTGATATATGAATAAAAATAATATTTTTAGATAAATTAATTTTATAAGGCTATAAATTTTCTTTAATAAAATGAAGTCAGTATAATTTTTTATTTTCAAATCTTATTTGGTTTTGAATTAATATATTCCAGGCGGCTTTTGTTTTATTCCATTTTTCAGATTAATGGTCCTATTAGCAATAAATATAGCAGTGTAATCAAAGAGCAATTGGAAGAACTGAAGTCACGTTTCACTATTTCTCGCTCAGAGTTTCTATAATTTCTAGTTATTTGTTGACCAAAAAATTTGGTATTCTACTTTAATTTTTTTGAAAACGATTCATACACTTTTGTAATTTTTATTTTAATATATGTACAGTTTATTACAGAAGTTATTTACTAATTCAAAATTGTTAATGGATTTCTCATATCATTCATATTTCTGGTTTGGCTGATTTCACTGACAAATGGTGAGAATCTTGCAGCTCAAGAGTCAACTGAGAATTTAAGTGAAAATGAAAGTGAGCAGCATTCGGTTCGATAGATTTAATAATTTTAATTTCTAATGGCGAATTCGTTGCTTCAATTAAATTACCGTAAAATCCGTTTATTCGTTTTTTTTTTTCATTTATATTGCATTCTACCTCGAATGTTTCAAAATTTTTTAAATCGCCATATGTACTTTGTTTCTAGTTATCGTTGTAGTTTTTTCAGTTGTAAATGTGTTTTTAATATCTTTTTTGTCCTATCAAAAATTAAAAAATCAAGGTAGTTCTAACCCGCCATATTTTGCTTAGCCGACTTTAGGAAATCTTTCAGAAGTATCAATGGTTTTTACCTTCCTTATAGGCCGGTGCATCTCAAAATGTAGTTGAATGCATAAAAATTCATACAGTGGAAAGAACTTTAAAAATGTGATATTTTACGACTCGTTGTTTACATTCATTGAAGAAAGAAAGACTTGATAGTTCCACAGATAATCCTTAATTTACTTAAAATAAAGGCGGATTTCTTGGTGATCACCTCACCGACAAATTCGCCGATCTTCCTGAAATGTATCCATACACCGCTTGGATTTGCCATATATTTTTCTTATCTGAGAAAGTACGTCAATATTCGAGAAACTTTATATTTTATTTATTTTATTTATAAAATACAGTGAATTGTTTCATTCAATACACTGAAAATAACAGAAAATATCGCCATAATGCAGTCGAGTTAATATAGAATGAATAAAGTAAATTTGGCAACGAATAAGAAATTAGGAAATGTCGGGGATTTTGAAGTCCTGGATTTTTAATAGTTTATTTTCAAATAGAAATTGTTACAAAATAACAAAATAACAAAAAAAAATCCAGAGCAGCAATAGTACAACCGCAAGAAACATGCTTTAAAGCGTTTGATTTTTAAGTTCCATACAAAACTTCCTAGAAAATGGTTGCATTTCAGTTTGATAGTATGCAAGCAATTCGATCCATTCAACAGAGCGACAAAAACAAAAGTTGGAAATACATATGGGCGAAGATCGTGAAAAAATAGATACAGCGACAGATTTCGAAATAGGAAGTGGGAAGGAATTTTGAAATGCGATAAGCTTCACTCTTGTCAAAGGACAGGGGTCGAGTAAATATTAGAATAGATTTCTATTGTTATATCTCACAAGTGGAACTAGCCAATTCGGAGAAGTAAGCTGTTGGAAAAATCGACTCAAAAACAGGAATTTTTAAGAATCAGATGCTTGCAAAGCTAAGAATTTTAGACCATAAAAGAAGACAAATTTTATGAAGTGTCAAACTTATTATTCATTCAAACTGCTTTTTGAGAATCTGCACACTTCGAGCACTTTCCGTTCTTGAATCCGATCTTAGCGATGTTGGGTCGATCTTTTTGATTTGCACAGATGAAACGCTATTCGTTTTTGGATAGCCATTACTTCGAGTCACAGTTCTTGACTGTTCGTAATGGTTTTTCGCATAACGATTCGTTTCTGGTTGGATATTGTTTAATCGAGATTCCGAACGATAATCACTTCGAGATTCGGAACGATATTCTCGGTGCTCATTGGCATGGTAATCGCCTAAATTAGAGCCGCTTTATCGCTTTATTCTTCTTCAAATTATTTAGTGCATATCGTTGACTTCAATGTGTATAAAAATAAGAGATGAGAGAAATTAGGAATAACTAACGGTCAGAAGTTCTTGAATAACTACAATCCTGATATCTGCTGATTGGTGAAGTGGTACGGCAACCAGAAGTTTCCGTGTTTCTTGATTGTTGCTGCTGATAATATGGATTTTGCGGTCGATTTTGTGGCGGAGGTTGGCTTTTGGGTGAATATCTTCCATCTAGATAAAATTATTTTCCATAATTATTAATTATTATTCTTTTAATATTCTTGAAAATATTAAACCACAATATTGGAAAAGGAAATTTTATTGGATGTGATACTGGAGAAAGGCAAACTCCAGAAAAACAATTTCAGAAATTTATAACTCACTCAATTCAACTGATTTCTGGTCCATGTTTCTCGATGGTCGATATTCATCTGTTCGTTCACTACGAGAAGCTCGAGAATCTGTACCTCTTCTGGAAGGACATTCAATGGGAATGATCCGTTCATTCGTAACCGCTCGATGAGGGCGTTTTGATGCTTCCACGGTTAATCGACCCTGAAATTTTGTAACGCTTTTTTCATAAATATTTTCGACTCCTCAGTAATAAAATCATGAATCCAGTACCGTACTATCAATTGTACTTGAAATATCAGCTGGCTCCACATCATTCGGTAATTGGTATTTGCGGACGAAATACATTTTCGTGAAATTATCACGATCTCGAATATCTTCATGACGTCCTTCAATCAACAATGTATCATCGATAGTTTTTACCTGAATTTAGCAAGAATTGATTATGATAAAAAAAAGATAACATAAAATTAGAATAAAATAAAAAATTACTTGTATTTCCTCAGGTCGAAACTGATATGCGTCAACGTCTACAGCAAAACGCGTTGAATTATTGGTAATTTTTGATTTAATATCTATACCTTCCTTAAAGATTGGTTCAGCCCATCTTGGATATAAATCTCGCCAGAATGGATCCGAGCGCCAATTGCGATCGAGTCGATCGAGATGCGATGAAAACTAAAAAATTCCATAAATATGCCATAATCTAGAGTCATAACTTTGGGAACAATTTTATTTCATTCAAATCACAGTAAAATTTGGCCTTTAGTGATGTTCTTTCCAACTATAGTTTACTTTTTGGTGTCGAATTCAGGATCGCTAGAAAGTTCAGTCCAACCCCGTCTGTATGGAACAAGGCACAAGGCTGTGGCGAGATTATGGTGCACTCTTTTAAAATGGAAGGAAAATGCTAGAGCTGGTTGTTTGAAACCAACTACAACAATGATCACTTTAGCGCTATTTCTAGGCACTACCAGAGTTTATTCTTAAAATTAGGCCTTTTGATTGATAATTTTTCAGAAAAATAAACAAATTTTATGATTTCAGGGAATCAATATAATATATTTTCCTCGACAAATTCTATGATTTTAAAAAGCGAACTCAAAAAATGATTTTTACAACAAAAATTCGCTAATTTATGGAGAAGACCAGCTTTACTTAAATAAATGAGAAAATTATCGCGCATAGGCTTAGACTTTCGGCCATAATAATAATCCAAAAATCGTGAACCATAAAAATTCACCTGTGGCATAACGTCATCAATAAGTGGCCAGTCCGAAGGCCAATCGCTAAATTTATGCCGATCGTAATACGATTGGAACTAAAAATGTTGATAAGATTTTATAAACTAAATACCCAAAAGATCTAAAAATCCAAAAAACAAATTAACAGTCTTAAAAAAATGATATTTTAATATAATTATTTTCAAATAAATATCGTTTTATTCAAACGGTTTTAAAAAGATTTTCATAGAAATAGTAAAAAATAATCAAAAATTTTTTTGTATTATAGAAAAAGTGATTATTGAAATGGATGAATTCAAAAGAGCGATTTAGCGACATGTGTAGAGATGATTTACGCGAAAATTTACGCGAAAATACGAAACTCGGTTCAATTAAATTTGAGCTTATAAGTAGAATTTCGCGAAAAATTTAAAAAAAATTTTTTAAAAAAAAAGCTTTGAAAAAATTTTTTGAAAAAATTTTTTGCGAAAATCGTCGCCCAAAAAAATTTTTAAAAAAAATTTGAAGACAATCAGCGCAATTCAACTGACTATTATTACTGAATTGTTCGGAAAAAATCGCGTAATTGCTTTGCCAAATGGTGTGCGTTTTTTTCAACAATCAACGAATCGCAAAAAATCGTTTTTTTTCGAAATTTGGGTTATTTCGTTAATTATTAAATTTTACGAACATTTTTTTTACGCTTTTTTTCTCATAAATTTTCATGAAATTTTGCGAAATCGTTTTCCTTTCAAATTGAAAATTTGCTTTTTATTTTCAACGATTGTATAAAATCTTGAACAGGAAAATTTTTAAATTTTCTTTTTAAATCGATTCTCAAATTATTCAAATTATTACTATAAGTAATTTTTAGAAATTTTTGTGAGAGAGTCACTTGGCGACAGAAATATAGGCGAATCGCCAGTGATTTTTCAATTATTGGATTACCATTTTTATTTTAAATATTAATTTTACTTATTTATTATTATTATCATTATTATTAAATTATATGAAATTTAGGCATCTAAAATAAATGAAATTTTTAGAGCAAAAGGACGAGAAGCGATAAAGATTAAACAATAATTATCTAACCGCGACCTTTTTTTACCTTTTTAATTCCTCAATATAAAAGCAATTAATTCTTCGATATAGAGCAAAATATTGAACGAAGGAATTCATTCATTTGTTATACATCGATTTGAACGAAATAACGAATGAGAAAAAGCTGAATAATAGAGAAAATCAAGAGTTTTGAAAAAAAATTATACTTGTAAAACAAACAAATTATAAAATAAATACAGATATGACTTATTGATTGTATCAACAATAAATTATCATTCGATAGAAATTTGATTAAAAGCCAACTGAAATATTTGGCAATATCTTTGATAAGGTAATGGATAATGCATGAAAGTTGTGTTCCAGCTTGTAAATGAACCAACTGCTTCTCTACTGCTAAGTGACTCTCTGCCGAAGTGATCGTACCGTAACAGTAGTCAGCAAAAGCAGCGTAACCAGAATGCGAAAGAGCTGAAGAAAAATTATACTATGGCGTGCATGTTTGCAGAACATGCAGGATGACCGATTCGCGTTTAGCTGATAAAGGAATAAGGATTTGAATAAAATTGAAACAGAACGACTGAAATCAAAATGAAATCATAATAAAGGAAGAATTCGGAAGAGACGCAGCGATGACATGAAAATGCAAAATATTAATAATATCAGGAATTGAAGGTGCCAAAATGGAAAATTTTATGGAAAAACACCGATAGAATTGACTAAAATATTGGAAAAATATATGAGAAAGTTAGGAAACGGTTAGGGACAAATATAAAAGAAATTTTTGGGTAAAATAGAACAAAATTTGATGTGACAGACGACAATAAATAAAAGAGGGTAGTATATTTTGTGGGGAACCACTAATTTTGCTGTCAACAATGGCCGACGATCGTCGCCCGATTCACATAAAATAGAAAGCCGATTATATTCTTCCATTTCGTACAATCGACGTATTACTGTTGATATATTTCTTTATTCTTTGTTATTGTTATTACTATTGCTGTTATTTTACTTTTAATTGTTATCACTATTACTATTTGTTTTGAAATGGAAGTTAGCAAAAAATTACTCGAAAGAATTATTTAAAATCTTTATTTAATGATTATGATAATTGAAAAAAAACAAATGTTTCCACTTATATAAATTTGAAGAGAGAAAAGCTTCACGAATGGAGCAAAGTAAATATTTTGAAACCATTTCACTGCAACAACTAGTCCCATCAAAAATTTTCAGCGAAGAATTTTCTTAAATAAGCAGCGATTAAGTGATTAAACCGTTGAATTATTTCTTACGTTATCGAAAAATTACATTTAAATATAAAAACACAGCGAAGCATAAAGAATAACTTCACTGTATGGCCTCTTTTATCAGTCACTTTTTCTTATTAATTTAATGATAAAAAAATTATTAATTATTAATTTAATAATAGAATAAAAATAATGAAAATGACAAAAATAATGATAATAATAATATTACAATAAAATTAGTAATAATAATACAATAATAATGATAATAATATTATTAGTAATTTATTAATTAATAATGAATAATTAATAATAATAACAATTAATAATAATAAATAATAGTAATAAGGACAATAATAACAATAATAATAATAATACAGTGGAAATATGGAATTATGATAACTCGAAATCGATGATAGTAGTCTTATCATTTGTTACTTTACCCTAACAAAAATTAAGTAAACGATTGTCCTTTAAAATCTAAATTATCCATTTTTTTCAAGTAACGTAATAAAAATAATTAGAAATTGACTATATTATTGAGGTGAATAAAAGATAAACTGAATCGAAATCAATCAAATAGAATTAAATTTAACACTTATAGAATAAATATATAAATATATCTAATTTGACTCACAGTAATCATTTATAAAAATTTTTACAGTTGTTTCTATATGAAAAGTGCTATAGGCTTTAATAGATGATTTTTTGCAATGAATTTTTCTTCCATCAAAATGTACCATTTTCGCTTTCGCTGATTCCAGTGAATTTTAGTTAGGAAGACAGTTAGGAATAATATCGATTGGTTTTCAATATGCTATTAGGATTTTATTTTTAATGAAAGGTTTGATTCTGACACATGGATGCGTCAGTGGCTTAATGAATGCTATTAGGAATTGAGAATAAATCTGGTTCGAATTCGACCAACTCGTTTCACTGGGAGATAGTGTCGCTGAACAGCGAAAACGAACTGATTTAGAATGGTTCAGTGGGAGTACTCAATTTTATAGCTCCAAATCTATCTTGCAAAATCCGCATAATGCTGGCATAATACCAGTACTCACCTGCATTTCTATCGCCAGGTTGCTCCCCTAACAGCGGAGCGAAGCTAACCAACAACGCAACTCTTAGAAAAAAAGGGATATGTATCGAACTTACCACTATCCACTACCATGCTTTATCTATGTATTAAAATTGAAAATAAATAAAAGGAAAAATTAGGGAAAGAATAAACCTGGGAGAAATGAATAGAAAACTCGTGAAAAAAGATATTCGTAGAAATTATACGATAAATTTTTATACATAAACATAATATATTGAAGTATTCACTCAAGAGAGATGGAATATTTAATAAATCAAACCATCCGATTCAATTCCGCTCAAAAATTTTATGATTTAGTAAGTTTATCCACTAATACAATTAAATTTATGGCAAATTTTTATTCGCTCAGTTTTTTAAAGCGATTTTTTTGACAAATAATGGCTTTGATTATGTCAAATTTTGCCAAAATTATATGAAAGGGTTCATAAAATCACAAAAATCCAACCGATTTATTAATTACTTTTCCGCTAATTTACTTTGATGAATTTTTCTTTTATTAAAAATTTGAAAAAAAATTTTAAAAGAGAGTTTTAATCATTAACGTAAAATTTTCACAAATGGTTTTGGATAACTTAGCCGTTTTTTGCATCAGAAGATGGTGAGAAAAGTTTTTACCCGGTTAAAAATATCTTGAGGTTTTGGCCAGTCGTGCGGCCAATCATCCCAAGCCCAGTCATTTAGCCATTTATCACTTTGCCAAAAACGTTCGTGTTGTGTTATTTTCTCACATTCATTCGTAGTTTTTCGATCAAGAAGTGCCATTTATACGATAAAAATTCCTTTCACTGAAATTTTCTTTGATGATAAAATTCAAAGAAAAATTATAAAATATTTTACGAATCGAATATTTAAAATATGGGGAAATAACAAAATAATTGAAAAAATACGACCAAAATCGTTTAGATCAAAATCGATGAATAAAAATGAAAGCAGCTGAGAAAATGAAAAAAAAATGAAAAATTGTTAGGTTTTTTACTGATCAATAAATAATAAATCATAATAATAATTATGCGAAATCGACATAAAGACGCGAGTCCGCGTCCATATTGCTGCAATTCGCTCAATCTTGTTATATGGTTGCGAGACATGGCTAATGAGAATAGAAGATATTAAGAAGCTCTCAGCCTTTGACAACTCATCTCTACATTCATTCTACATTCTGCGGATCCGCCGAGCGGATAAAAGCAAACATGATTGTATCCATCTTCGCTCACCTGTATTAATAATATTATCACAGAGCATCGCTTTCGCTGGTTAGGTCACGTTCTCCATCATCCACCACAGGATTTGAAGCATATTTCGTCGCTTGCTAAACCGTGTGATGGATGGCGTCAAAAGCAAAGTGGGCCAATCAAGACCTAGGCTGATACGGTCAGAAAAAATTTCGAATGTATAGTAGGACCAGCGATATATGGACTTATACGATGGAAAAAATCTACTATTACTACTAGCGATGGCGTCGGACCGAGCAGCTTGGAGATACCTTATCCTTACTAAGCAGTGGAGCCAGCCTAACCAGTAATGATGAGAGCTGTTGGAAGAAGAAAATAAAAATTTCCAAATTTTTAAGATATTTCCAATTTAATATGCGATTCCAACGGAAGCAAAGTACCACATGCAAAATGAAATCTGGTTTTGGTGCTAAGAACTCAGGTGTACTTCTATTTTCAAGAGACTCTCTCTCAATATCGTC